CCCTTTTGGATTTTGACTCTGGGCCAGGGTCAGCCCAAAACTTTGTGCTGCCTGGGTCGAAGGTTAAAATGCAGTGTGTGTAGTGGGCTGTGAGGGGTAAGCATTTTTTTAAATAAATTTATAATTAAGTGTATGCCCCCCCCCACCTCTTACCTGTGGTTAGGGTGGGGAGAACATTAGTTTCCTTGGTGGTCCAGTGGCACAGCATGCTGTATTCTGTAGAGAGGGGGCCTCGTGCAGCTTCATGCCTTCTTCTATCATGAACAGTGTGAGTGTTGCCGCGGGTTGCTATGGCAACGTTCCACACGGCACGTAATGCATGCTGGAGCGTTGCCATTGCAACCTGCGGCAACACTCTTGCGTTTTGTGAGAGGAGCAGATACGAAAGCAGAAGGAGGCGAAGATCAGACTTCTGGGCCCCCTCCACAGAACAAGGTAGCGGGGGCCCAAAACTGTGTGGATAGAAGGGGACAGACACAGACAGACAGACCAATTTAAAGTGTACAGGGGCGGTTTTGCTGCCCCTGTAAAAGTGCCACCGGGAGCCATGGCTGCACTTAGGCCAATGGACAGGCCGGCCCTGCACCAACAGATCTGTTTTTTTATAATTTACTATATTTCCTTGTATATAACCTTTCTAATAATGTACTGTATTCAAATTACATTTATCCAGTTATCTTACCAATACCCAACTGAGAAGACAAAAAAACTACATGTTGGAAGAGCCATCAATCAAATTTCAGCTCGGCAGGAGGCCCACATTTATTTCATTACTGAATATGCGTCAATGCAGTCAGTTAACATTTTGTTAATTTGAGCAGGTGTCAACCAATTCATTATAGATTGATACAGACTTTAGATTCATATTAAAACTAAATACATGATACTGCATTCACATTTTAGTTGTTGCAAGGCTTTAAAAAGGACCTTTTAAACATATGAAATCCCTATAGTTTAATGTATACAAAGAAAGGTGGTGAAACAATTTAAAGGGACACATCACCAGAAGAACAACAGCTTATTGTAGTTTTGGTGAGTATTGTCTGTCCCTGCAGGCATTTTAATGTATACACTGCCTTTTCAGAGACATTGCTGCATAGAGATACCTCCAGTGGCAGTTACTCAAACGGCCACTACAGGTGCTTCCTGAGTCTCTGCATGGAGACGCTGAACATTCCCATAAAGATGCACAGATTCAAAGACCCCGCCCCTTTTTCTGAGATAATCAGAGTTGATAATCTTAGCCAGCAGGTGCTCCTTTACCAGCTATAAACTCCTGAAAAGCCAATAGGAATCTTCTGAATTACAAAGAACCCTTCCTTGATCTACTTGGCTTCAACTTTCCATGAAAATTGTTGGGGAAAGACCCTCTCTTATCTTAAAAAAAAGTACCGGAAGGAGGGAAGGATTCATAAAGCAATTCAGTAAATATCAGCACTCCAGTGAGTGTTCTTGCATGCACTACAAATACCGTGTGTGGTCTCTGTAAAATTAAAGGGACACTACAGCTTGATGTATTGGTTCTGGTGTCTATAGGCTGCCCCGGCATGCTTTTCAATGTAAACATTGCCTTTTCAGGGACTGAAACGCTTTGCCTAGAGAAACTAAGGAATGGAAAAGAAAAAAACTGAAAGAACTATATAATATATCAGACACCGATACAAATTATGAAGAGTTAGAATTATCACCATTGGAAAAATTGTTTTTGCACGACCCAAATAGGAAGGGCATAATATCAATGTGTTATTTACTACATAATACCAAACCCAGTGTTAAACTTAAGCACATGCTATCTTGGGAGGCAGAGCTGAGCACCCAATAGGAGTTAGAGGATTGGTTTAGTTTTTTTTAAATCATTAAAGGGAATATCTTTTTGCTCTGACCATTTTGAAAATCATTTTAAAATTTTGTATCGATGGTACTTGGCTCCGTCCAGACTACACAACATGAACAACATGTATTCTGACCGGTGTTGGAGAGATTGTGGCGGTTTGGGAAATAGGGCCCACATATGGTGGTATTGCACAAAAATAACCAAATACTGGAAAATGATTTATGGCCTAATCATTAAGGTAGATAGAAACATTGGTACTTTCACATCTGAGCTTGCTTTATTCAAGAAATTCCCAGCGTCCGTCAGCAGAATTAACAAAATAATAATAGGCCACATTCTGATAGCGGCCACCTCTTGTTTGCCTAGGTACTGGAAATCTAAAGATATGCCATCACTTAGAGAAGTATTGAACCTACTCCTAGATAATAAAGCACACGAACTATCAAATAGAAGTAACTTGTACCTCTTTGCACAATTGAAGTATGATTGGGATATGTGGGAAGACAAAATTAAAAAAGCCTATAATCTGTAACAATTTGTCCTTTTGTTGCAATGCATCACTCAAATTGTATGCCTTATATATTACTATATTAATCGTCACATTGGATGGATCTCCCCTTCCCTCTTCCAAGTTTTCCTCCCCTTCCCAACCCTTATTACAATGTTTTTATAATTTGTTGTAATCTTACAAAAAAAATAAAATATTTTCAATAAAAACTATTTGAAGATAAAAAAAAAATTTTACCCCAAAAGAATCACATGCTCGAAACCCTTAAGGAATCTTCTATAGAACAATCATATTGTCCAAATATTTATTCCAAACTGCATTCAGCCATAACCATTTGTGTCACATTGCTAAAACATCCCCTTTACCACCAGAATGAAAATTTCACATACATAAGGTTTTGCTCACTGATTCCAAAGATTTAGCAGTAAACAATCTGCCTATCGCAGCTAACTTCAAAATGTAGAGATTAGCAGCTGGACTTTGACTGATTCCGTACAATGATGAAAGAAGTAGTCTCAGCTTCCAAGATAAAACAGACAGACTTTCAAAAAAAAAACCTTGGCTTAGATCTCCGAGCTGTGCCCTTATGGTAGATTAAATCTCTAAAGTTCCAAGTTTCTAAGTGCAAAAATATACCAAACTCAAAATAACCTTTTTATACAGTCACAAAATTATCTGATAAATTTTTTTTTTTTTAAAGTAAACAGTACTCATTGTATCATATGTCTACATACCAAGTACTGGGCAACATACAGGACTGTGGTTCTTTACACCTGGGTCAGACCCAAAAATGGATGCCAGTACCATTTCATTGGGTAATCAGTGGTTGTAAGAAACATATTACAAGTCAGTGCCATGGTGATAGGACTATGAAATCTTTGCCTTCTTCGTTACAATGGAGATCATGAGGATGGGAATTGTGTAATGAAGGGTTTTCGCAAAACGTTCGTACATATTAACATACGGACAAAAGAAGAATGGGTCACAGAGTTAATGCCACGTACAGTTGTAATCAAACTGAATCAACCTCCTTTGGAAATCAGGTTTGTCGTCCAAATTTACACAGTGGTTTGCAATAAACAATTCAAGCAAAATAAACTGAACAGCGCAACAATAAATGCTTCACGAGGTTTTCCCAAATTCAACTGAAAATGCAAGTTTTGTTTAAAGGACCACTCTAGGCACCCAGACCACTTCAGCTTAATGAAGTGGTCTGGGTGCCAGGTCCAGCTAGGGTTAATCTTTTTTATAAACATAGCAGTTTCAGAGAAACTGCTATGTTTATAATAGGTTTAATCCAGCCTCTAGTGGCTGTCTCATTGATTTTCACAGTGAGAAGACGTCAGCGTCCATAGGAAAGCATTGTGAATGCTTTCCTATGGACTGGCTGAATGTGCGTGCAGATCCTGCCGCGCATGCAGCCGAAGAGGAGAGGAGAGTTCCCCGCCCGGCGCTGGAGAAAGAGGTAAGTTTAATATAATACTCACCCTAGAGCCTGGCGGGAGGAGGGGGTCCCTGAGGGTGGGGTCACCCTCAGGGCACTATAGTGCCAGGAAAAACGAGTACGTTTTCCTGGCACTATAGTGGTCCTTTAAGTCTGCAGGACACTGCCATTCCATCGACAGTTTTATGTTTTTATCTTATTTCCTCTTTATTAAGCTTATTTTTTTTTCTATCTAAATGGTACAGAAGGAAGACTAGCTAATCCTTCAAAACAACTCTCCTTTCTTCATCGTAGAATATAAATTCTGTCCATAATCCAGATTATATACTTGGGGTGTGTACAGTTCATGTGTGGCATTTCCACACAATTTCTTGAATTTAGCTCCATATTTCCTAAAACACAATATCAAGTAAACAACATCTGCTACTAACATAAATGTTCTTATTTTTAGACATACATAAAAGCCAAGCTTAGGCCTTCAGGTAAGGCACATTCTTGAAGACTGCGGTCTCATTTATGTTCACTCACGCTCATCCAAAGGGAAAATCATCGCTGCCTCAGGTAAGTTACTGAAGGGGTTTTCACCCCTTCAGAAACCGGGGATTGAGGAGTGGGAGGGAGAGGGGACCTGCAGTGCCAGGAAAACTGGTTGTTTTCCTGGCACTGGAGTTTCCCTTTAATCCCTTGAGTTCATTTTGTATGAAGTATGCACTATAAAAAACAAACAGAACTAACGTGTTAGAACTTTTCATTTGAAGTTTAGTTTTTTGGTTTTTTTTGTTCTTACCTTCAAAACAAATCCTTCAGGACAGGCGTGGTCATACTTGTAGACCTTATAGACTACCAGGAACACAACGCAAGCTAGAAAAGCCAAGGCGAACAGGACAAGGACGGTGACCTATGAAAAAAAAAAAAAGGAAGAAACTCATTAATTCCATGCAAGGAAGAGCTGGAGGTTCTTGCACACAAACATAGAATGAGGTTCCCAATCAGTGTCAACTAGAGCAGATTTATCAACATAGATTGGTTCTATGGCTGGATGGACACTTCTAATGCTGTGAATCGAAAGGTCTGTCAATTTCGGATTTACGGATACATATTTTATTAATTATGAGATTAAATAAATATATATATACACATACACACACACACACACACACACACACACACACACTTTTTTTAAAATATCAAATGTAAATATTAAAACAATTCTCCACTCCCCCCCAAAAAAAAGAATAAAAAAAATACACACACTATAATATGTGTGTGAAATAAATATAAATGAAAATAGAAGTAAAAATAATTTATATTTAATTATTTTAATTTTTACTTCTATTTTCATTTATAGATTTCTGATTTTCTATTTTTGTTTCTTATTTTTTTCTCTTATTTATTAAAGTTTGGTTAAAAAAACAAAACAAGGGGGCGGAGCTGGACTGCCAAGGAAGCCAGACGTGCCCTGCAAGAGCTCCTGCATCTGGCCCCAATAAATCAAGATCTACACCCGGGCCACCCATCAATCAGACCACAATAAGCACTCATATTGCCAATGGGTCTTCGGTGCACCGGAGGATACTCGTGAGCCTGTCTGGAACCAGTACGTCCTGATAGTGGCCAGCGGCCTACACAAGCCTGAGCTCCGGAGAGATGGCCGCTCTCCGAGCTCCTTCATTTACTATGTGGTCCCGGTGAACAAAGCTATCTTCTCCCCACCCCCCCCTGGACCGGTGGGGGTTATCCCAGTCTCCACTGGCTGGCACCTCTGTCGACCCTACACAGCTATCATACCATGATGCCTGATTGCGGCTGACTCACCTAAAATGGCGGCCAGGTCTCTGCTCCACCAGCAGGGTCTCTGCTCCACCAGCCGGGTCTGAATCAGCCCATGGAGACACGAGGAGGTGCGGCTGAATATGTGCTGGAGCGACTGGATGCGACCTTTGCTGATTTCTGATTACACAACCACCCCCCCGCACGGCTAACAAAGCGAGAAAGCGCAAGAAGCCACAGCAGCAGGCAACGCTCTTCCGACAAGCCCAGCAGCATGGACGCTACTACCCACCTCGACCATGGAGATCCAGACTCCCTCGGCAGGAGCAGCATGACCCAGAGGTAGTCCCCTTAAGCTGCCTGGCACACAAGAACGTCGGCCCATGGAGGTCACCATCTTTCCTAGTTCGACGCCGCACACGGAAATAGCAAGAAGGGGAGGCAGAACCCGGTACCAAGCTACCTCATCAGACTTGGACTCTAAGTAGCATAGGCTAAGGGTCCTGTGTAGAATCATACCAAACCAAGTGTAGCCAGGGTATCAGCCAGCTTTACCTTGGTAACATGTTATAACTTTGATTGCATTCACTATTATTTTTATTTCCTTTGTTTAGAACACATGAGTAGTATTTTCACACATGCCTGTTATATGCTTCCTGTAGGCTTATTTCTGGTTTAAGTCTAGTGCAATTTGCAACCACTTATTCCCTGCCTAGCCAGACAAGAGATAGGATAGAATCAACCTGGCATATACTACGTTGTAAAGCCGTGTTCATACAATGATTGCACATGTCATGCTTCGTCTCTATGTCACTCCTCTGTTTACCCTTTCTTGACATGTGCACCTCGCTAACCCACTTAAACGAGAACCTAAACTATTGTAATACTGATCTCTCTAACATAAAAATGTGCCTGTCTAGCGAATGCCACAACTTGTATTGCAAATGTTCACCAATTCACCCTGATGTCGCTGTGGCGGCGTACCAAGGTTATTTGTTAATATTGTGCACAACAAAAATAAAGAATTTAAAAAAAACAAAAAAAAAAACACATTTGTTCAATTTCTTTTCCTTTTTCATCTCTTCCTTATATCTATTTCCCAATTTACTTTAACTTATAATAGGACCATACAAACATGTAACTTGTATTTATGCTGGGGATTCATAGAGTTCATTACCACCAAGGATCCACATTCACAATCTTTCCATTCTTATTTTTAGTATTGGTAATACTGATAAATTTTTATTTTATTTTTTTTAACCTAATTATGATTTTTTTTCCCCAATTATGCACATTCTGTATTGTATTATTGTCATCTATATATACATACATACATACACACACACACATATATGTTATTCAATATATGTGTCGTGGTTCTATTCATGTATTTTTACCTTTGTGTAAAACTTTTTGCTCGTTTTTAATCTTGTTATTATAAATTTTTGGAAGCTCACGCGGCAGTCTAGCCTGCAAGATCTTAGGAAGCACCTCTGAGTGAGAGGCAACCAGGACACAGTACGGAGTACAACTCCCACAGATCCCATCCATCTACAGGGTCGGACTAACAGGTTACCCTATATGCTTTTGAGCCCATCTTTTTTGCAGCTCGTTTTCTGCTCACACTAATTCTGTGAGTATTTTTAGATATTTTGGAATAAAATACTGAAAAAGTTACAGTGACATTATCATTTCTATTTTTCCACTTGGAGCAAATTCTGATACAAATCAAGCTACCGGTTTTCTCTGTACTGACTTGCTTTTCATTATATGTTATATTATTGTATCTTTCTTTGGAAAGTATATTATAATCTGTCATTGGGGTCACTATACTCTGTGTGGTCTTCACTAGCAGGGGAGTGACACTTGCTATATTACTGCAGATTTGCTGGACTAATTTTTGACTTTTTAAATCAGGATTTTTTCCTGGTTATTTATTATAACTAATTATATTTCTTTTGTGGACTTTAAATGAGGTTTATTAGCTATTTTCATTATTGTACTATAGTGATAGGTTTTTATATTCTCTCATTTGAAGCCTGCATTCTTTTTGGTTTAAAGCAACAGCAATCTCTTGGTTCTTTCTTGAATTTATTACTTTTAAAGGACACTATAGTCACCTGAACAACTTTAGCTTAATTAAGCAGTTTTGGTGTATAGAACATACCCCTGCAGCCTCACTGCTCAATCCTCTGCCATTTAGGAGTTAAATCCCTTTGTTTATGAACCCTAGTCACACCTCCCTGCATGTGACTTGCACAGCCTTCCATAAACACTTCCTGTAAAGAGAGCCCTATTTAGGCTTTCTTTATTGCAAGTTCTGTTTAATTAAGATTTTCTTATCCCCTGCTATGTTAATAGCTTGCTAGACCCTGCAAGAGCCTCCTGTATGTGATTCAAGTTCAATTTAGAGATTGAGATACAATTATTTAAGTTAAATTACATCTGTTTGAAAGTGAAACCAGTTTTTTTCATGCAGGCTCTGTCAATCATAGCCAGGGGAGGTGTGGCTAGGGCTGCATAAACAGAAACAAAGTGATTTAACTCCTAAATGACACCGAATTGAGCAGTGAAATTGCAGGGGAATGATCTATACACTAAAACTGCTTTATTTAGCTAAAGTAATTTAGGTGACTATAGTGTCCCTTTAATAGAGTTCTATGGTGTTTGGCGCCCTGCATTTATAATTTAATACAGATGATTTAAACTTCTTTTGATCACAACCACGAGAGCACAATTTAATTTTAGCAGCCCCACTCTACAGAGAGGAAGGGAATAGACATCTGCCCATTGCCATGGTAACACTTTGAGCAAAAACAAAACATGTCTTCCACTGAACTAGTCTGATGGACTTACCCCATTATATGTCTAGGAAAGCGAATTGCATTCAGATGAGTGGACTTGCCTGGGTGAGAGACCAGGTAAGAGCAAGCTCAGATGACTAGCATCATGAAAGCTTTGCAGGGGAAAATCTGTGATAAATGTTTATTTAAATAGCAGATTTTTCTACTCCCACACAGAATCGCTTTTCTTTTGTGTGTGTACTTGAAAACGAGAGAAATCTCAATGTATCTTTCCTGGTAAAATATTTTATAAATAAATGTGAGGGGCTGAAAAACAGGAATGTTTGCATTTGTACCCTATAAAATAGGGTCTCCCCCCCCTCCCTTCTCTACCCTCCTACCAGCACCAATCTCCTTCCTGATTCCCTGTTACCTAATATACTGTAAAATTAGATGCTACGACAGTCCATGCTGATTAAATATATACCAAAGCAAATGTGCAGTACGGAATGGGCCGGTACCCAATATATTCACTGCATAATAGACCATGTCAAACTGTTACTGTGTATTATTAAGCAACAATGTATGTACCGAACACTATCAGCTGGATGTATTGCATGATGCTATCCGGTTAACTTTAATAAAAAAAAAACTATATATGGAAAAAATAAAATAGGGTTTTTGAGGTTTTGTTTTTGGTGTGTTTTGTTTTTTTCTGGATTTAAACTAGCAATAAATAAGAAATGCTATTAATATACCTATATATTAAAAAAAAAAAAATACAAGGGTGGGTTCAGTAGAGACACTACCGCTGGATATTGCTTCAGATTTTATATTTAGAAAAAAGTACACATACATTTGCAGAAACAAACACTGATACAGTGACAAATCTACATTTAGACTCACACACACAGATTCATACATATGCGCAATTGCAAATATCTACACCCATATACAGATGATAGACAGGCCATTAATTACATTTGGTGGGCATGGTCATTCATTCAGTCTCTGCTGTTGGCCGGGGATATATTTGCCTTGGTCTCCAGTAACTCTATACCCCGGATTCGCAACTATAAAACCACGCACAATGTTGTGTTTGTTGGAGGTTAAATTTGTAGTCTGGACACTATGGTGTATAAACATCAGCACTGCTCAGTGTTTAAAGCAGGGGTGGCCCATTATAAAAGCTAACTTCAATTACCGGTGTAAGGACTGGCTAATGAGATAAGAGAGACCTTTTAAAATTGGATCTACTCCCCCATTAGTCCACCATAACGCAAGGGATTTGGAGCAGTCAGCTGCTTTGGGGTTCCAAACAAATGGTACATTCCACACCCATCAAGGTGGTCAATATCATATATATGGGAATATGAGAGTTAAGAGGTATGCTTTATCAGGACTACAATTCCCAGAAAATCTTGCACCTCAGAACAGGGCCAGACAGGGAAAAAAATTTGGCCTGCACATTTAAATATATATCAGCCCTATAGCCAGGGGCATGTTGTGTTATCACCAATGCAACATGCACAACTCGCAAACAGGGTATGCCAGTTTGATGCCCCTCAGGGCAGTCCATGCGCAGAGCTCTTCTGAAGAGCTCCTGCATTTCTAGACTGCTTGTGAAGTTGTAAGCTGTGGTGTTATGTGTGCGTGGGGAACTGGCTTGTAGTGATGCAAATATAAGTGAATGTTGTGGTTGGGATGCTGTTTGTAGGCTTTGTGTGGAAGGGGAAGCTGCTTGTGCGATAGTGTGTGTGGATGGGACGGTTTTGCGGTGTGGTGTGTTTGCGTGTTTAGGAGGTTTAGTGTTTGTTGTGGGGATAGGGGTGTGGGGGCATACGGGGATGTAGTGTGTGTGGGGGCTGGTGCTGCAGGGTGTGATAGGAGGTAGATGGGCTGCATAGTGTTACAAGGGGACATTAAAAAAAAAAAAAAAAAATTAACTAAAAAGTATTATCTATTTATTTTTAAACTGCTCTCCGTTATTCCCCCTACCCATGTTGGAACATGCAGAGTTCACGCAATGAGCCCGCACTGTGAAAGAGCTCAAACATTGCTGTTGCAGACGGACCCCCCCTTGATAACTTCTGGCTGGGCTATGACGAGTGAGATTGCCGGCCAGAGCACAATCTCTCTGCCAGCGCTCAGGCAGCACTAGCCCTGCATGGGCTATTGAGGGAGATACTTTTTTCTCCCCTGTCAGTTTCAGCACAAGGCCAATTTGCCCGATGGCCAGTCCAGGCATGCAATATAATATGGCTCAGTTTCAGCTTGGAATGTCCATCAACTTTGCTTTGTTTTTATTTTAATAATTTTTACAAACACATAGCATTTTAGAAGCATTATTTACTAAACAATTATCTAGAATTTACTAGGGAATGTAAAATGATGTTGGCCTAGGATTTTAAGTCCCTAGTCAATTCCCATTCACAGTTTAGCAAATAAACATCAGTGCGTACTGTAAACCGCATTTTCAATAGCAAGTTAATGGTATGTGCAGAAGCCCATCCTTGCAAGCTCTCTGCCTTGGTGTGATCTTTGATTCTGGTCTCGCATTCATACCAAATCCTGCCACTTCCACCTTAAAAACATTGCACAAATATGCCCGTTTCTGCTTGTACATGCTATTTTTCGTATGGATTAGTGTCAATCTCTCCTAATTGATCCCCCCAGACACTGTACAGTCTCACTATAGTCCATAATGCCAGGCTGATTGTTCTCTTCTGTCACTCCTCATCCTTCTTTTTAAGCCTTACACTGGAGATAGATAGAAAATCTAGGCTTGGTAGTGCTTGGGAAGAAAAATCTAAATAGGTTATGGTGGGGAAAAATTGTGATTGAAAACCCCTTCCACCTGAAGTATGTGGATAGTTAATACAATGCTAAACAAAAATCTGCACACCAGTCAAGCCATAAGACTTGCTTTTCCCACAGAAATCCCAAATCAGCAGTGCTTCCCAAGCACTACCAAGCCTCACTAAGCAAACCAGTAACCAACCTCATGCTGAAGAGTTGCATTAACAACGAAACAGCTGTCCATGAGTGGTTCACTGGTTTTGCATCTTATCCTAAATTGTGTTCCAAGCAGTTGTATACTGCAAACACACATTAAAAGGAATCCATGTTTAAAATGGAATGAGGCAAAAATGTGATTCTTTGTTAAACTAATTTGCATATGACCACCCAGAATCCTGTGCGGTTGTAACATCACTGCTGATTTGGGATTTCTGTGGGAAAAGCAAGTCTTATGGCTTGACTGGTGTGCAGATTTTTGTTTAGCATTGTATTAACTATCCACATACTTCAGGTGGAAGGGGTTTTCAATCACAATTTTTCCCCACCATAACCTATTTAGATTTTGCTTCCCAAGCACTACCAAGCCTCACTAAGCAAACCAGTAACCAACCTCATGCTGAAGAGTTGCATTAACAACGAAACAGCTGTCCATGAGTGGTTCACTGGTTTTGCATCTTATCCTAAATTGTGTTCCAAGCAGTTGTATACTGCAAACACACATTAAAAGGAATCCATGTTTAAAATGGAATGAGGCAAAAATGTGATTCTTTGTTAAACTAATTTGCATATGACCACCCAGAATCCTGTGCGGTTGTAACATCACTGCTGATTTGGGATTTCTGTGGGAAAAGCAAGTCTTATGGCTTGACTGGTGTGCAGATTTTTGTTTAGCATTGTATTAAATATATATATATATATATATAATTTTCTATTTATTTATTTATAGCTCTACTCAACTCTACCCACACTATATATATATATTCACTAAGTCATAGGTATGCCCCTTCCTGGTCACTCCGCACGGTCAGTGACTTTCTCCTGCCCCCTGCTCGTACCTGTGGTGACAACTCTCGCTTGCAAGACTTCTCACAGGTGGTTCCACTCCTTTGGAACAGTCTGCCTACTTTCAGACTCTCCCCTAGTATTCAATTATTTAAGAAGTCACCCAAACCCCATCTCTTCAAAATAGCCTATGGTCTCCCAGAGTAAATGTTATTTCACAAACCGCTCAGTGGGTTCACATTCCACTCTCACCTTCCATCCCGGTCATTTGATTAACATCTCCCACGCTGGCCTTCCTGTTGTGTTTTATACCCTACCTCCTGCAGAATGTAAACTCGTTTGAGCAGGGTCTACATCAACCTATTGTTCCTGTAACATTTTGTACTGGATTTTATTGTTAAAATACCCCCACCCCGCGTAACGCACTGCAGAATAAGTTGGCAATATATACAGTATCTCACAAAAAAGTCAGTACACCCCTCACATTTTTGTAAATATTTTATTATATCTTTTCATGTGACAACACTGAAGAAATGACACTCTGCTACAATGTAAAATAGTAAGTGTACAGCCTGTATAACAGTGCAAATTTGCTGTCCCCTCAAAATAACACAGCCATTAATGTCTAAACCGTTGGCAACAAAAGTGAGTACACCCCTAAGTTAAAATATGTCCAAATTGGGCACAATTAGCCATTTTCCCTCACTGCTGTCATGTGACTCGTTAGTGTTACAAGGTCTCAGGTGTGAATGGGGAGCAGGTGCGTTAAATTTGGTGTTATCGCTCTCACACACTCTGATACTGGTCACTGGAAGTTCAACATGGCACAGAACTCTCAGAGGATCTGAAAAAATAAATTTTTGCTCTACATAGAGATGCCTAGTCTATAAGAAGATTGCCAAGACCCTGAAACTGAGCTGCAGCATGGTGGGCAAGTGGTTTCACGGGACATGTTCCACTCATAACAGGCCTCGCCATGGTCGACCAAAGAAGCTGAGTGCACATGCTCAGCGTCATATCCAGAGGTTCTCTTTGGGAAATAGACATAAGTGCTGCCAGCATTGCTGCAGAGGTTGAAGGGGTCTGTCAGCCTGTCAGTGCTCAGACCATACGCCGCACACTGCATCAAATTGGTCTGCATGGCTGTCGTTCAGCCCACAGTTTGCTGAAGACAAGTAGACTAAGGACATGTATTACTTGAAGATAAACTTATTTGGTTCAGATGGTGTCAAGTGTGTGTGGCGGCAACCAGGTGAGGAGTACAAAGACAAGTGTGTCTTGCCTACAGTCAAGGATGGTGTTGGGAGTGTCATGGTCTGGGCCTTGCAGAGCATGATCCCCTCCCTTCCGAAGCCTGGGCCGCAGGGCAGTATTCCAACATGATAACGACCCCAAACACACCTCCAAGACATCCTCTGCCTTGCTAAAGAAGCTGAAGCTAAAGGTGATGAGACATGCCAAACATGTCTCCAGACCTAAACCCTACTGAGCATCTGTGGGGCATCCTCAAACGGAAGGTGGGGAAGCGCAAGGTCTCTAACATCCACCAGCTCAGTGATGTCGTCAGAGTAGTGGAAGAAGACTCCAGTGGCAACCTGTGAAGCTCTGGTGAACTCCATGCACATGAGGGTTAAAGCAGTGCTGGAAAACAATGGTGGCCACACAAAATAGACACTTTTGGCCCAATTTGGACATTTCCACTTAGGGGTGTCCTCACTTTTGTTGCCTACAAAACATTAATGGCTGTGTGTTATTTTGAGGGGACAGCAAATTTGCACTGTTATACAGGCTGTACACTTATTTATTTATTTATAAAATATTTATTTATTTATAAAATATTTTACCAGGAAAGATACATTGAGATTTCTCTCGTTTTCAATTGTCTCTGGTGTCTCCACAAGTGGGATACCAGAGGACAAAAGGGCCAGGAAAGTGTATGGTGCATGTGTTTGGAGCGGCAACCAGGTGAGGAGTACAAAGACAAGTGAAGGCCGCTCTAATTGAAAAATGCCCAGGCCTAATTTTTTTCCCAGTCCGGCCCTGGATAGGAATAATGTTCGCCATCAATAATTTGTTGAGAGCCTTAACCATCGGTTTGAACTATTAATTAATCTAAACAGCTCCATACTAATATTTTACTTTAAGCGTTAATAAAAAACAGTCTGGTCCTGGTGTTTTTACTGGTCCTTACTAGTTTACATTGTAGCAGAGTGTAATTTCTTCAGTGTGGTCACATGAAAAGATAATAAAATATTTACAAAACGTGAGTGGTGTACTCACTTTTGTTAGATACTGTAAATGTGAATGATAATAACAAAAAGTTTTCCATCTACGTGCCAGACTGATTACCTTAGAAGGAATACCACTACTGACAGTAAAGACCAAGCTTTTATACGTCGGCCTACCTATGTAATACAGACAAAATATCTTTTCGGTTTTAAAAAAACTGAAATCACAATAACGGATGTAATTTCTTTACTTATAGCCAATCCATTATCTAGCTGTCAATACAGGACTGCTGCACAAGAATGATCAAGGTCAAGCGCATCCAAATCCTTTTGTACATCGATTTATACAAAGATATATACATACATCTGGCAACGCCTCAATACGTCATATAATCGAAAGGTAACTTTTTGATAATGTTGTAGTAGAGAAGGGACCTTCATGGGCCATTCATAGTGCTATCCAAGCGGTCTGTTGGATAGCACTATGCTAGTCTGGCACAATACAAGATCATAGTAATCATGGTATAATCCCACAATGCTGTGCTCATGTGACACCATGGGACAAAGTCCCAATTGCAGTTACGTGGACACAAGGAATGAAAAGGCTCCACAAGCACATCTTGAGAACATGTTGGTCATACCAGCAACACCAAAAATACCTCTACTGCCCTCTTCACCCCCGGAAACGCTTCAATTGCATTAACCGTGGTAAGAGAAAATTTAAATGTCCCTAACGTAAAGATGTCGATGTTAGGATTTTAAATATTTTTTTTTTTTTGAGTATGCAAAACCTTACAGAAGCAGAGAGACTTGAGAAGATACTTTTTAATATTGTAGATATTAGTTCATGACCAAAGAACTGCAGTCTACAAATTTATAAAAAAACAAAAAAACTTTGATGTATGTGGGAAGTCAAAACCAGAGGAACAGATCAGATTCCAAATAGAATGACACAAATACTAGCTATTTCCCAATATATTACGTACGCAGAGTAAGATTTTAAATGATCCTCTGACAGCAAGGGGAATTACTACAACAACACCAGCTGTTGATCACCACAAACGTGACAAAGTCTTTCTTCAAGAAATACATTTCCTTTACAAGGCAATGTGTCCATATGCACCCTTAGTTGTCCTACAATTTTCACAAACAATTTCTAACTACTGTACAACTATACTTTGTTTTAACAAAGCAAGCATTTGCATTATCACAGAGATCATATACTGCATAATCTATTCGTCTGCAATATCATTGCTAGGACTAATCAGTTTAGCAAATTGTAGCGGAGGGGCAGGGGTTAATCCAATGGCTCTCCACTGGAACAAAGATTCAGCATACAAAATCACAGGAACACAGCATAATCCACCTCCCCAAGGACTAGACGACACATAGTCTGGGAGTCAACTGTCAGCTTTATTCACAGGTCTGCTTTTATGCATTTCTCCCATGCAAGGGAGGTAACTTTCATAATTAATACAGTAGCCAATTGTAACACGGTCACCTCCCCTCCCCTTAGATTAGCACTTAAACAGATTAGTGGGGACAGAGTTTTCCCCACTTTCTGGATGTCCCATAAATACCAGGGGTACTGGGACAAATAAGGGGTCCCCTGGTAGGTCTGATTTGGGTGAGCAACATACTTGAAATTCACCCAGATCGGACCAGGGGTTCGGGAGTTACAAGATTTGACCGACCGCAGGTCTATTTTAGTGAAGCAAAAATACCGAACAGCCTAGCCATCCATGCGATTGCAAGCCTTCATATGAATCCCCTCGTTTAGGGGAATCTATCTACCGAACGCCAGGGCGTTCGTGTGTTTGGTTCGTGCTGTCTGAGCATGCTGGAGGTCTTAGCGGTGCTTGGTTAGTTGAATGCCCAGTTTGAGTTCCAGGCGTTCGACAACCAAGTACCACTGTTCATGCGTAAGATGGCCGCCGCCACCACGTGTTCAGTAGGCGAAATGGCGCCCACACATACAGGTACTTAATTCCCTTCGCAACATTGTATCGGTCAGCTAATTGGAAACACACGACCACCCCGGGGTGGTCTCCCATTCGTTAGTTTAGGGCATTCGCATAAAAACATTAAAATAACATGAAAGTCCATTCGTGTCGTTATTCCCTTGGTGAAATTCACCCATTCACATAAAATGATTAGTTCAAGTGGCAGGGTTTGCCACACAAATAAATATATAAAACTTTCCAAATGGGTAAAAAAACAAAAACAAAAAAGTGAAAAAAAAAAAACAGTGTGTATCTGAAATGAGAATACCTACAAATACAGTGATATAGAGAGATATTATATATATAGATATATATATTAAAAAAAAAAAAAAAAAACACACCACACAACTTAGCTGTCTTATTCACAAGATCTATCCGTGAACAGTAAACCTATCCCTGAGATGAATCATGCCCAGGCTGTGTTGTCTTCGTTACAAAACACTAATATTATTTTGTCAAAAAAAATAGATTCTCCCTCCGTTTACATTAACATTACAGACTAAACAGAATTCTCAATTTCCTAGTTTTCCACTGTACTGTTCTCAGTCTTAAAGAACACATTTGATGAAATCTCTAATGCATTAAATGATCTCCGAGTAAGATAGCATTGACATCATGGACGCCCATTTACCGAAATAACATAGGACACCAAGATGTCACCCTATAACAAGCCATTATGACCAATAAATTGTATTTATTATTTTACAGGAAACAGCAGACCTGTAAATGCTATTTAACTAATGAGTCATACTTGTTAATGGTCACAGATTTCCAGGAACAGTCCCTAGTTATGACTCACGATCCCAGCCCATTTGTAATTCTGTGTTTGTCTATAATGAGTTAATAGGCTCTTTACCAACAGGTGATAAATAGCACTCTTTTAGCATGCTACTGTGCAACTTTAAGTAATTTTATGTAATATTACAGAATTTTGTAAGAATATGTTTGTACTGTAAATGCAAATCTGGACTGGTTCTACAAGATCTTCTATTAACTAATGTTCATAAAAACTGAAAATTTGACGTTTACCTTTGTAAAATTTACCTTTGTATTCGTGGCAAAAAAAGAATAAATAATCACACGTTCATTTTACCTTGCTAGTGGATAGATTACCTATAAGCTGTACTTTTTTGTCTGAGGTTATAGCAAGCAAAAATGACAGATAAAGTGGATTTTTGTGCCTTGTCCAACTAATTCTGGACCACTTTGCCCTGAAACTGCTTATGAAAAGATTTTATATTTTTGAGTACTGCCTTTAGCAATCTGCAAATTGAGGACTGATGGTTTTCTTCTAAGACCATACCCAGTCACTTATAACAGATTTAATTTCACTCCCAGACTGGTGGAATAGGCATCTGGGGTAACGGTCTTTCAGAGTACAGGGAGAAATGATCCTTCCTGAGGTCTTCTCCAGGAACGCTTCGGATTCCATGACGCCATCTGTGTTTTTGTACTGGTTGAAATCTTCATCTTATCTAAACCTCCTTCTGTCCTGTTACACAATTTGAGAATTTCTGCTTGAACAGGCATCACTCTTGACTTGGCCCACCTTACTGTTGGAAATGATACGTTTAGAAGACCCAAAACAGCCATGTCTTGTCTTATTGAATAGAGAGTGAATGTTCTTGTAGACTTGCAATGGAATTGAAAACCAGTTTTCTTTTGAGATGTGAAGGTCTTCATTTCTGCGATCCCAGCAATATCAACACAACTTCATTTTCACTACGTTGTGGTTGCATTTTTCTGGTTCTGAACTAACCTAAAATGACACGAACTGTGACCGTTGCACCATTTTAAACTTTGTGTTTCCATCTAGTTTGATGCAGTGCACCTGCGCAAAAGTGACAACATGATGTAAAGACCTGTTTAGTCCTGTGTATCAGACATAGCTAAGTTCCTGACCCTAACTTTTGGCTTATTCTGCATCTCGTGCACTTAACCTCCCTAGTCCTAAGTGGTGTAGCTTACTTGGCCTGAATCTAAATTCGTAGCTCCTGTTCCTGCCCAAGCGTTAAGTCCTGCCACTCATAAGTCCGGTAATATGGCCATTTATCTTATATTCAACTGTGATCTAACTAGCCTCTTTGAAACATAGGACCCTGGCAGGCTTTAAAAAAAATGCTTTTTTTCATATTTGTCAGTTTCTTTGTAACAGTCTGAAACATTAGTAAAGTAGCTCTCTGACCAGCAACTTTGTCAGCAAAATGTATGAGCACATTGGTGTGCATAGTCTGCCCTACATAGCTGAAGGGATTCAGGGTTTTGACACCAACATATACAAAAATATTCTAAAAGCTATTCAGCATCAATAGAGGGATTGAGTCAACGTTAAACACATCATCTTAATTAAGGGCAAATATTTGCCTATGTTTCAAAAAAACATCCTTCAGGTCTCTTGCAAATACCAAAAGCAGTAAACACAATATTTTGTAATTAACAAGAACCCAGGAGGCAGAACGAGACACCCCTTTTAATTACCATATTTATGAACCAGCATCAACCATCCATATTCTCCTCACAACTTGGAGTGTGGACTGCTGTGCCAAGGCATTCTGATCTTTAATAAAAAACTCCACAAAAGTGGAGAAAAATAAATAAATTCTTAAATGGAGCATTGATTTATGGACATATTTATCTAGCAAACTGGAGTGATAGAAAGAAGTAAAAAGAAAAAACGGTGATGCTGTGGTTACTAAGCAACACATCTTAGCAACACTGCAGATCTATTGCAATCCCACAGAGACATGCATGAAGAGGAAAATAAATAAATAAAAACACGTAGCATCAGCTCCAATATATTAGATGTAAAACATGACAGATTTTGCAGTGAGGACTTAGATGATGGACAATAAAGAATAAAAGAGTGTAGAAAATTAAAGTATGTTGAAAATAACTATAATGCAAAAAGGGTGACTTTTGGGCCAAGAGTGTTTTTTAAAACTAAAGATAATATTCAAAAAACATAGCATCATAACAGCTTCTGTCAGTCTATATATACCAAGCCCTGTTTTATGATGAACAGTGTGTTTTTTTTGCCTGAACTTACATGTTGAACCTGCAGAAAATTCCAATGAAATTGAAAAAGGAACCAGAAAATAAGTGAAGGGACAGAAATACTAAAAATATTTCAGAAATTATCCCAACTGATGTTTGTTTATTTTTTTCTTCACGATCAATGTTAAAACACACTGATCTGTAAATTATGTCACCAAAACAAAAAAAAAAGTGGTGAGTTCCCCTTTAAAAATCGGAATGAAGCATATAGTGATGATTCCACTCTGACCGTCCACATCAATATTCCAACAGAGAGAGATCGCCAATTAATTCCAGATTACACATGCAAAATCAGGAGACAGCCTGTAACCAATTCCCGCAGTTTGGTTACATCATTTCCATAGTCCCAAGAGGGTAGAGAAACTCAGTGCTGTGCTTTGGGACAGATGCTCATGACTAGCAGATAAAATGGGAGGGGATGGGACGATAAACTTACATTTATAGTTCTACTTTCAGAATCTATGTGAAATAGACACCTGCACAGATTTGAAAACACACCTGTGCTATGCAAATGTGCGGATGGTAAAATTACAGTATTCTAGGGAAATTGCAAGCAAATTATTCTGGTGCATCAGTGCACAGGCATCAGTGTTAAACAATCTACTCACCACTTAGCATCCTGCAGCCTCCAATTAAAACATGGCATAAACTGGTACCTAATGCCCTGGCACACGTAGCAGGCAATGATGGTCTGAGAGCATCAGATGAACACGATAAACTTAACACTACCAGCAATACCTGGTATGAATTGGTACAGGGTGGATTGGAGCATAACTCTGCCTCTGTCATAACACAACTAAGGGCCAGGATGGAGAGGACCAAGCATCCTTGATAAATGATGATGAAACTGTAGAACAGTGATGCAGGATCTCAGCACCCATGGACTCCAGGCACCATAACCACTTCAAATCAATGACATTCATTTCATGTTTCAGCATAACATTTAATTTGAATTAAAAAATATTTTTTAATTCATCCATATATTTGGTGGCAATTTTACCAAGACATTGTACAGTGCTTGCCTTCATATGCACTCTCCTCCCCCACAGATGTTTTTCTGTAATCTAAACCTGATGTGTTTAAAAATAACTTTATATGTACATATATGCACACATGTGCAATTACGTGAAGTTTGAAGGCATTTGGTCGCACCAGAGCATATGTAGGAGATACTACTTCTGTAACAATGTTTAAAAAGACAAAAACAGTAATGAGAAACAAAAATATATATACACACATACATACACACATACATACACACACACAAGGTAGGATTATAGAACAGATAGCAAGTATAGTCTATACATGTTGTCAAACAACTTTCTGAAGACAAGTCTTTACCAAGTCATCAACACACACTATAAATGTTTTTAAATCTGCCCAACTATCACACTTATTCTCATTGGTCTGATTTTTATTATTTTTTTTTATATACACTGGTTTTTTTTATTTTATTTTTTAAATACCCCAAAGGATGAATGTAGGGGAAGTTTAACATATTTGTAGATTTAATTGATGTCTTAATAAAATTTTAAAAAATAAAGAAAGAAGCACCAACAAAAAGTATCATATATGCTGTGTAGACTAAATGGTCAATATCCCAATACAATTAATTTTAGTTCCAGGTTGTATCACTGCAAAATCTAGGAATATATAAGAGGGTGAATATGTCTACAATGCTCTGTGTAGTATGTGGATCCAAGATGAGAACTCTTGACTTGGTAAACTTGTTTGACAGCTTGATACATTAGTTTGGTATGGCCTGCCTTTAACATGGGCTCAGTTGAGATCAGTGCAATGCTCTGTTTGTAATTGCCCCCGTCCAAGCGTTGCTAGACCTCCCCTGATCAAGGAGTTTCTGCTTGCTACAAAAGTCTTCCTTAGGGAGAGTGTTAAGGTTCGAGTTCCTTACGTTTATTTACGAGCAAATAAAATTTGTACCAAATCACCATCAGCGATTATTTTTAAATAGAAGTACATTAGGTTTAATCCCAAATTTTATAATGCAAACCTGAGTATTATGGAATGTACATGTAAAAACGAACATGGATGTAGTCACCTGATGAAAGAAATGTGTTCTACAAATTCTAAATCATTTTATTTTAAAGGGTTACTCCGAGTACTATAATCACTTCAAGGAACAAGGCCACTTGAAATCACTGGAGTCTGTATGTACAGCATTTAAAAGGGATTCTCTAGAGCCAGGAAAACAAACCCATTTTCCTGGCACTGTAGAATCCTGGAGTGCCCCTCACACTGCATCGCTGAAGGGGTGACACTTACCTGAATCCAGCACCGATGTCCCTCGGCGCTGGGTCAGTCTCCGCCCACGCTCCTCCCCCGCAGTCGGCTAAGAAGCTGGAAGTCCCTCTAGTGGCTGTCTGGTAGACAGCCACTAAAGGATGGATTAAAGGACCACTATAGGCACACAGACCACTTCAGCTCAATTAAAAGGTCTGGGTGCCAGGTCAATCTAGGGTTAACCCTGCAGCTGTAAACATAGCAGTTTTAGATAAACTGCTATGTTTACATATGGGTTAATCCAGCCTCTAGTGGCTGTCTCACTGACAGCCACTAGAGGCACTTCTGCGTTTCTCACTGTGAAAATCACAGTGAGAAGACACTAGACGTTCATAGGAAAGCATTGAGAAATGCTTTCCTATGGACTGTTTGAATGCACGCGCGGCTCTTGCCTCACATGCGCATTCAGCTCTGATGTCAGCTGAGGGAGGAGAGTTCCCCGGCGCTGGAGAAAGGTAAGTGTTTAACCCCTTCAGCCCAGCAGGAGTGGGACCCTGAGGGTGGGGGGACCTAAAGACCCTATAGTGCAAGGAAAACAAGTTTGTTTCCCTGGCACTATAGTTGTCCTTTAACCCTGCAAGGTAATTAATGCAGTTTATAAAAACTGCAATAATTACACTTCCAGGGTTAAGGGTGATGGGAGTTGGCCCACTTTAATGGGCTGAAGTGGTCTGGGTGCTGCCTACAGTGTCCCTTTAAGATTGAAATGCTGAAAATACTGGAACAAAAAAAAAACAAAAACAAAAAAAACAAACACACACATTGCTGCTGGAGGAGTAATTCCACTTCTGGCAGGGTCATTAGCCAGCATAGTATGAGACTTCCAGGCCGGCTAATGCTACATCTGTGCATATTGGTCATATGTTTTCAGCATGGATATCATACTGATGACAGACTTTCAATGGCAGCACACACCCCGATGCCACCCAAGTACTCCCCTCTGCCAGTTCTCTTGGACATCCATCCCTCTGCAGTAAAGGGGAGTGACAACACTCCCCTTTACTGCAGGAAAAAAATTTCAAATGGGCACGTATTTTGGTTGGAGTCAGGCTCGGATGGCCACTAGGCACACTGTTTATATAATCACTATTAATATTTTTGGCATCCTTAATCCCATATCCCCTTACACACTACAGCCTCCACCACCTCCTCACCCCCGCCCCCCCAACACACACACACACACACACACACACACTATATAGTCTAATACATACACTGCAGCCCATATACATGCATATTACATGTATACACATACTGCGGCCCCTATACACACACCCCTCTACATTGCATAGACAAATACGTACACTACACCATCCTGACATACAAAAACTCTCTACAGCCCTCCAACACACAAACACAGCACATGTACACACACAAAACAGCCCCTAGATACACTTACATGCGCACATCAGCTACTGTACACAATCTCTACAGCACCTAGCACACTTTACAGCCAGTGTAAAAACATATACACTAAAGTACCAAGCCACACATAGTACACTACAGACTCCTTTACACACACTTATCCCACTTATAAGGATAGCAGAGACAACTTCTAAGCAAACGAAGCGCAAGTGTGTCATTAAATTTGCTTGTTCTGGGTAAAACAAACAAAGGGCATTGTTCTCATGTGAGAACTCTTCAGCAGGGCTCTGCGCATGAGAAGCCCTAGAGACAGCAAACAAACATGCTCAACTTGAGGTGGCATGCTCCACTTTGTTGATGATATGACACCACCTGTTAATCCCTTCTCCCTCCTACTGGGATGCTCGGCCTTTAAATGCGCGGTGCAAATATTTTTTTCTCCCAATCCAGCCCTGGTCAAAGTAACTGTTTAATATTCATGATCTGGATTAAAATCACTGGAGAAATGAACGTTTGTTAAAATTTTAAATTTACTTTTTAGCTTTGAACTTTTGCCACTGATTACAACTGTCCTGAGCACTTGGCAACTTGTTTTTTTGGAGCCTTTCTTTGTAAATCTGCATTCATGTGTTCTGCGCAAATAAATTAGGATATTGCAGTATCTATACCGCCCGTTGGTTCCTTTTCAATTTTATCTGACTGATTGCTATACATTAGTCTGCCAACAGCCTTACAAAACAATTCATCTTAACACGAGCTCTCCACTAAGCTAGTCCAGCAATTCTCACGTCTCTGTATAACCAGAGTAACTATTGTAATTACCCATTACTCTAAATCCCTCTTCGTATTGATAGATTAATCCATAGGCATGCAGAGATTAACACATCACCTACTCACACACTCCATTGTAATCCCCCCCCAACTCTCAAATCTAAAACAAACCCCACATACCCCTGGATGCAACTTCACACAGCCAAGAGCAAGCAATATTTAATCTTGTCTACTTCTAAAAAACACAGAGCAGGAAGTTATCACTGATGGAGAAGGGGGCCAGGACAACACTACAACATAATTTCTAGTAATTAATATTTCAGTACTCTTCTCAGTGGTCTTACGTGTTCCCAGATTGCACGGCTGCATTCTAGAATGAATGCGGCGGGGCTCATTTTCCTGTCCGCCCGCACCTCTCATGCCTCCCCACTCTGTCAGTCCCTACATTGGCTTCCAGTTAGATACAGGGCTCAATTTAAAAATCTGGTGCTTGCTTACAAGTCCCTACATAATGCTGCTCCAACCTACCTATCCTCCCTAATACACAAGCATGTCCCGTCGAGGCCCCTACGCTCTGCCAAAGACCTACGTCTATCCTCTGTCCATACTCCCACCTCTAACGCTCGCCTCCAAGACTTTTCCAGGGCTGCACCTCGTCTGTGGAACTCCCTTCCCTTCTCCGTAACAATTTCACCCAGCCTCCACTCATTCAAAAAAAATAAATTAAAAACTCACTTCTTTAAGAAAGCATTTCAATTAAACTGTTAGGAGATTTATATCCCCCACCCTCCATGACTCCTCTCCTGCAACTGTCAAAAATTACCTACTAAGCCTTCAGTGAATACTTTTCTAACAACCTACTTCGTACCCCTACTTTTACCCTCTGTGTCACTATACCCCACTCCCTCTAGAATGTAAGCTCATTGAGTAGGGCCCTCCATCCCTCTGTTCCTGTACGTCCAGTTGTCTGGTTACAATTACATGTCTGTTAGTCCAAAACCATTGTACAGCGCTACGGAATCTCTAACAGCCATCTAAGGAGTGGCCAGTGACATTATCACTAGGATGTAATGTAAACACTGCATTTTCTCTGAAAAGAGAGAGTGTTTACAGCAAAAAGCCTGAAGGTAAGGATTCTACTGACCAGAACAAATTCAATAAGCTGTAGTTGTTCTGGTTACTATAGTGTCCCTTTAATTGGTTATAGTGCCTGATGTCCTAAGGCGCTGTTTTTCCATTGAGTATTAATCCATTTTCAAGCAATTTAACTCTGAAAGAGTGTCCCCGGCCGCCCACAGTCTAACCCCTGAAGGTATGGCTAAGGCAGAGATTATTTCCTTCTATCCATACCATATCATACCAACAATGTTTGCTGCAATTGGCTGAGAGTGTCAGCTGACCGCTTTCAGCCTGCTTGAATTAATACTTCATTAGCCCAAGTAGCACTGAGGGGGTGGGCTGCTGGAGACTATTATTAAAAACATAAAAAAAGGATTTAATAAAAAAGCAAATATGAAAAGGATAGATTACTGCAGTAAGAAACAATTTGTTTAAAAAAAAAAAAAAAACACATTTAAAAAAAAACAAACAAAAAACATTAATGCCAAGCAGCTATTAATCTTACACCATGGTTGCTCCCACAGCGGTAAATTAGACAAAATCAAGAGAAAAATCAGGAAAGAGTGGTACAGGTATGGAGTGTACACAAACTGTGCTACTCACATTGACTAAGGAATATAAAAAGTACAAACATGGTTACACCTGAGAAAGGGTTACAGATCTGAAACATTTGTACTTTATATGATCCTCAAATGTGAGTAGCAGAATTTTTGCACTAGCTATACCTCTAATGCTTTTTTCCTCACTTACTTTTGATTTTAAAATCAATTAAAAGGACTTCAGACACTATAAACACTTAAATTAGATGAAGCAGTTACAGTGTACCTTTAACCTATCAAGGAACTTTTTCTCAGTACAGTCTAAACTCATAATAAAACTGTAAAGAATCTCTACGTCTTTCAAAAAGGTAGAAACATTTCTGTGGTGCAAATTAAACCAATCCATTGGAGGAAAGTTCTAAATGTGGTGCAGTTAGAAGGAACATTCCACAGGCTATCATGGAAATTGCTCCTCTTTCAGAACACATTGCTAATTAACCCCTTCGTAATCCTATTCATTCCTAGATTAAGCTACCTTGTGGTCCTTGTTAATAACCTACAACAGGGCAGTGGGGTCAGATAACAATCGGACGGTGTGTGTAGGGCTTCTTACCTTGAATCTTTCCGACACTCCTTCACTGATGCTGATGGTAAATTCGGCAATTTTGGGAGTGCGGAATTTGCCTTTCTTATGATCCCGTTCATACTCAGTCTTGGTTTTGACCACAACCTAAAGAACATTGAATAAAACAGATTTGCATTTAATTAATTCAACGTATCTAGATATTACAAGTTTAGAATCATAATCAGACATATGGCGCTTGCTACTGAAACAGATGGTATATTAAGGACTACATACCTAGTCAAAAATAACAAAAATCAAAAGCAAGAAGTGATTAACATCTAAAGAACATACAATATTCCAGCAATTTGGCTTTATCGAGGGATTATCACGGATAATAAAGCATACTGTAAAGATCTTCATTATCCCACTGGCATCTATATATTTTTTTTCTACCAGAGTGTGTAATCATAATAATAAAAAAATAAATAATTGAGTTTTAAAGTGGAAAGTTCACAATGCCAAATAATACTCAAAAAGAAAAAAATATTAATATACACAGGCTCTATTCCAAGTCTTACACATTTTATTGAAGTTAGACAGGCAATGTTTCTGGTCAAACAGGAGCCTTCCTCAAGTGGCTTGAGTCAAAACGTTGCCTGCCTAACTTTAATCAAGTCTGCAATTTGGAATAGAACCTATGTGAGCCCTAATATTTTTTTTTTCTTTTTGTCTACAGTTTGAGGGAATGGTGGTCTATCTGTACTGTAATACCTTAGTGTGAATACCCTTTTTTGGGACTGGAAAGTACAAGGGGCGTACCTGGAGCATTTGGCACCCGGGGCGGATCCTATATTTGAGATGTATGCACATATACTCAAACACACACACTGGCACATACAGATAGACACATAGGTATACACATGCAGATACATAGAAACACAGTCATGTAAAGATACAGACAAACACTGACATACACGTACAGAGACATAGGCACAGACACACGTACAGAGACACACATACAAACACAGAGAGATACAAACAGACACACATACAAGTGTGTGTGTGTGTAGTTTATGTACTATATGCAGTGTGTGTGTGTGTAATGAGCAGTGTGTATTGTTTGTCTATGTCCCCACCCTCCTCCCTGTCTCTTACCTGTGTCCAGGGAGGGGTGACACTACATTCCATGTTGGTCTGGTGGAACAGTATGGTTGCCCAATGAAGAGGGGCCCAGGAGTCTCCACATCCAGCAGCAGCATGTCCTCTGTTGTCGCGATCCGCAAGACCGTTGTTGCTGGTTGCCATAGCAACGCACGGCAATGCTCTCGCAGACCGCAAGAACAGAGGACATGCTGCTGCTGGATGGGGAAAGAAGGAAAAAAAAACAAAAAAACAACACTTTATGCCCAACGGAGTAATCCCCAAGTCCTGGACTGGTAGGGGGCACTTGAGGACTGGGTTGGGAACACCTGGCCTACACCATCTCCCTACACATTTCGAGTAAAGAGAAAGCGAATATTAAAAACTTCCTTTATTGCATATAGAGAATGTATTAACTCCTGATCTGTTAATAGCTTGCTAGGTCCTGCAGGAGCCTTCTTTTGGTAATTAAAGTTGAAAAAAAAAGAGCAGGATATAAAAACTTCTAAAGTAAACATCTGATTGAAAATTAAAAAAAAAAAAAAAAAATTTCATCCAGGCTGTATGAGTCACAGCCAGGGGAGGCGTGTCTAGGGTTGCATAAACAGACATAAAAGTGATTTAACTCCTAAATGGCAGGGAATTGAGCAATGAGACTGCAGTGGCATGATCTATACACCAAAACTGCTTTATTAAGCTAAAGTTGCTTTGATGCTTATGGTATCCCTTTAACTATTCAAGACAGAAATTGCAAACAAATAATTTTTAAAAAGTTACTCACAACGCTGCAATCTATTTAAATCAAAATCAGTAGAAATATAAAAATGAATTTTTTTAATTAAACTGTGATTTGTGGTTAAACAAACAGTTTAGACAAGACATTGGTCTTGTTTCCAACTCAACTAATTTGGCATGAATTTTAGATCTGATTTCAACTCGCTATAAATTACTGTTAGATAAATAAATCCTATACATTTACGCAGCATCTAAATTCATATCACGTACGTTACAGCTATCAGCAAGAACGACATGTCTGCCCCTTTATATTGAAACAGGTTGCCATCTATCACATTCTAATTTGTGTAGCAAAAAAGTGTTATGGTGAAGCAGCGTTATCATGTAATTGATTTCTTGCTTGGCAGAAGGGTGATATGAATACATAATCCCCTGAATGGTAGGATTTCCAATAATATCCTACATGGAACGGAGTGAGAGGTTAAAGGACAGATTTAAATGTTTCTAACTATGGGATTATGGAACAGATAGATCAGTTGACGATGAACAAGCCCTGTGTTTGTCCTTCTTGAAGGTCAGTTTTCCTCTTTTTGGATGGGCATTTAAAAAAAATATTTTTTAAATTATTATTACTTATTTTATTTTTTAAATAGATTAGTTTTAAGCAACTTTTTATCTCAGCAGGAATAAAAATCACTATATGTGCCAAATATAAGGTCGTGGTTTGAAAATAAAAATTAAATGTCATAAACCTTTCCTTTTTTTTTTTTTTATAGATTGCACTATTTCCTTTGCTGTAATCACTTTCAGATGTATGCAGGGTTGATAGGTAATCAAGCGCTGTGAGTACTTGCTAATTAATTGCCCCTAGGGGCTGAGTTAGTATGTCACCAAACAAAAGGCGGGGCTGGGATCTAAATAAACTTTCTCCCAGAAACCCATTATAAAAGCCTGTAAGGCTAGGGCCTAGGACCAAACTTAACATTCGCACAGACCAAGGCCAGAAAGTTTACAGTACTTCCCCTTCATCCACATACCTCCTAACTGTACTTATTTAGAAAGGATAGTCCTATTTCTGGGACCGAATCCTTCCTTTCTATCCTAATGTCCCTCTTTCTAGCAGTTTCAAATTGTTGGTGTGCCTGAGCTCCACAGCAGTAAAACTCCCAGAAATGGGTCTTTAAACTACAATAAATGTATTTAGAAATCAATCTGTGTATATAAGATACATTGTTCTTGTTATAAATTACATTTTAGTTGTATAAAATTATTAATAATTCACCTAAAACATATCACAACACCTTCATTTACCCCCCAGAACATAAAGTGCCCCTCTTTGTCCGTTTTTTATATGTTAGGAGGTATACATAGATTTTCATATAGCTAGCCACTTAAAAACATATAATTAGCCACAATACACTAGGAATTATCCATTCATACGCATCTCATTAGCCCATATTTACATCAACAGCTGCTCACGTGTATCCACAAACCAACCTTATTAACAACACAATCACGCACATACAGACAGACACACAAGCATACGAATGCATCTCTTGGCACACCCTAGCACACCAACCATTTCCGTTCCTCTGCTCAGCCTGCTCTGTAGTGTGTGAGTGACCAGCAGCCACCACTTAACACTTGTCCAGTACCCATATCTGCGAGACCCCTCAAAATTTGTGGCCTTGTGATGGATCCTCCCCTCACGTAACCTCTCCAAAGTGTTGGATCTGCAGTCCCCAAACGTTTCACACAGAAACACCACCAAAAAGTCTAGAATTCATGGTAGACATCTCGCACTCCAGATGTTGTGGGCTACATCTCCCATAATACTCTTACAGCCATCATGCTGCCAATGCACCAAGAGAGTTGTAGTCCACACCATCTGGAGTACCACAGGTTGCCAACCCCAGCGACTAGAGACTATGCATCTCCTTAAAGTCACATAAAAGCCCCCATGACAACGGAATCTTGTATAACATTTCTACAGGGTACTAGGATGTGAGTGAATTACCCATTTGCAATTTAAATAGCTTCCCTGATTCCTATAAAAAGTGCCAAAGTTATTTTTTCAAAATTTGTTTGGGACGCCTTTCATGCAATCTGTAGATAAGAGCTCTGCCTGTCTTAGTTGTGGATGCAACTAACAAGCTATATTTAGAAGAGCAGCTATTTTAAGTGTTTGCAATAACCACACAATAAAAAAAATCAATTATATACATATAAATATAAACTACAATTAGATAATTTGTTCCCTTTAATAAAAATAAATTCATTCACATATCCAAAAACAAAGATTCCTGAGCTTTAACATTGAATATAGAAGTTATTCTTCCCCAATTCAGAAGAATGGATTAAAAGATTTGTGAGTAAGGCTTGCTAGAATGCAGCCAAGTTCCGTTTAACAATTTTTAAGACTGTGGTGGTGTCAAAATGCACACGTAATTAATAGGGGGCTTTAGTCACTAAACAATGAATTGTAGTCGCAAAATTCATATTAATATATAGTCGAGCTATAACTATACTAGAGTTGGGAGAATTTTTCAAAATGTTCTATTTCTTTCTTAATTTTGCAATTTAGTTTTCCCTTCATCGTTTAGTGAATAAATTCAACAGAGCTCCTGGGTCTTCTTGTGTGTTATAAACTGAATTAAGGCACTACAAATTCCCTGAGGATACATTCAGGTCAACGCTGCAACGTGATTTATTATTTCAACCAGTTTGCATGTACACAGACAGCTTTAACATTCAATGCACACTGCTGCAAATACTGGTGTTCTTTGTTAAGAACAATGTTACAATATCAGAATTTCAGAAATCATAATTAACAATGTGTGCACATTAGGATTTAAATTTGGAAACCTATATAGTGACTTTTTTAGTGGCATTAGAATTTTAGAGAGAGCAAACATGTTCTGTAGCGCAGGGTAAAACAGAGGAACATGCTTTGTTGTAGTGAAGGATAGCCATTGTCTTGTTGCAGCAATGCCACAATGCAGCATTTTTCTGGCTTGCAAATTGTAGAGAATTAGGAAAATTCTAATCCTTCCTTACAAAATAAAGAAATCAAAATGCCATTATTAAATCATTTCTCAAAATGTGTGACACGATACATTGTAATGGTAAATATATATCTTCTTTAATCTTTTCTCTATTGACATAGAAAGATTTGAAAATATATATATATATAAAAAAAAAACACAACACAACACAACACACACACACCAGAATTAAAATGAATCAATTATCCTTTGTCTAAAATTCACATCACACCCAGGGCTGATATCATTTAAATTGTATCAACTGCAGAAGTGGCCATAGGAGGCAATTAGAATTTTGGGATTTATGTATTCCTCTCTCATTCTATTCCATGGTTCTATGGGTTTGGCAACCTCTCTAGAAAACACTCTCAAGGCATCCATCATTCCCTCCATACATACCTTGTCAGGGGGTGGGAACTGCAATTGATTGACGTCCAGGGGGGTCATCAGAGGGATGGTGTCGAATCCATCTTCGCTTATCGGAGGCTTTGTCCCTTTGTCACTAAAATTATTCCCTAGTTTCACCATGGTGGTGTATTAAACAGCCCCTGCAAAGCAAAAAAACACAGGAAATAAATTAAAATTTACACACCCACTTATATTAATGCCTGCATGTTCTCCTTATATCGCCAGCACAGTTGGTATGGTGTGTGAGAGGAAAGGGGTAAGGCCTCCATAGACTACAACTCTCTTCAATCTTAGCCAGACACATTATCTCGATAACCATACACAGTCACTTTCCCAGTATCTACAACCATAAATGCAGAATGTATAGTAACGCCACAATATACCTGCTATTAGAATCCAACTCCTAACACCCCAAGCTAAGCTGATGTGACTTTATATTCACAAATTCAGTAGGATAATTCAATTGATAAACAAATATTTATATATATATACATATATATATATATATATATACACACATATAGTCACCCAGAGGACATGAATAGACTCTCCCCATCCCTTATCAGGAAATGATTCAGCTTGGTAATGTTTAATAATTCAAAGGCTTTTCATCATAATTGATTGGTACTGGTGGTCTCATCCTCCTGCACCCTTTAATTGCAATTTAACTATTTCAATGTGGTTTCACCTTTCAGGTACCCAAAGCGTTAAATTGAATATTTTATCTGATATCCGAAAAGATGCACAACGTTCTAAAAGCCACTTACCTAAGGCAGCACAATCTGATGGCAACTGGCACCTTATCCTTGTCAGTTGGACATACAAAGGTGAGGAGACAGATGGGTGGGAGAAGCTGTGCCCCTTGCTTGCTACTGATGGGAGTCTTTGTGTGGAGTCCTGCACAGCAGCCCCCTGTCCTTAATGCAGCATCAGTTCCCAGGAGCCAGTGGGTTGGAGTCAGGCTGAAGGCGCTTGACACTTACTGATCTCACAAATTTGCATGGAACATGGGGTGTGCAGCTTAGAGGCTGCAGCTGCTGATTCTGCTGCTAAATTCAACACAAAGGAGCCCCCTGGAGGCCACAAGCAACTCCTCCCCTCTCCCTGTCCCTCCCCAGTAACTGGTGCAAAACCATCCACCCACACTCACCACAAGCACCTCTCCTCCACTGCTTTAATGTTAGGGCAGCCCACCTAGTATTGCAGGGTTTATTTATTCTTTCCTGTGATTTAACCCTTGCTGGGTAACTCTGGGAAATACAGTTGGGATTACAGACACATGGCATCATTGATTTAAATAACTGAGAGATCTAACCATGTTATAAAGGGCTACAGTCCTCATAATCTAATTCAGGTAGTCATGATGGTTCCTTTACTATATTAAACAATAACAGGCTTGGTATATGTAAATAATATCTACTGAAGCAATAGCTGTCCCCAAGCTTGGAGAAATAAACAGAGAGTGAGCACTCTAGCCAATAGTCCTGCATTTCCAAAGAAAGTCCCTAGGTTTTCATATCTGCCTCCAGGGACATTAAACATGTGCTAGGCAGTGCTTAATGAGAAACACAGGGTTTGTCACTAAACTGAGAATTCAAAGGGAATTCTGGGTGAATTTAGGCCAAAGTAACGGATTTGGAAACATTCTCTAAACTAGCTATACTGCCAGTTCTGCTACTTTGGCCTAGAATTTGCAATTCCTTTTTCAATTCCAGATGAGACCTTGATTTAATACGTTTTCCAAATAATTCAGTTATGTTAGAAAGACTTTCCCAAATTAATTTGTTACATAAATTCCCATAGAATTTAACGGTGAGTTCTGCAGATAAATCATTTGGAAAGATTTCAAACACGTTTTAAACAGAGAACTCCATTTAATGTTAGATATGTTTTAAATGATTTAATATTTTTGGATAAACTTTTGAAATGATTTAATATTATGAAAAATGGTGTAATGTTGTTATATGTATTGACATTTACTTTTATATATGAAATGTTTTTGAATTTTTAATATGTTGAAAACATCATTTGAAAAGCGTATCCTACAATATAAATCAAGGTCTAAGTGAGTAACCCTCAATTTGATTTTTCAACACAAAAGAAACTTTTGAATACGTTTTTTGGGGAGTGTTCATCAAAAGGTAGATCCCCACATGGTGTAGAACTACAACTCCCATGATGCTTTGCATGACTTTAGAATGCCTGTAGAAGGACAGAGTATTATGGGAGCTGTAGTTTTAAAACATCTAGCGATCTACTTTTTTGGGCACCCCTGATCTAAAGTCCTCTTAGGGACACATCCGATCTTTAAATAGATATTGATTGTCACACTTTTCTCAGTTCATAAGGTAATTACTGTTACGTTTGAATGTTGAGATTTATTTTTTGGAAATCTCCAAATTTGCTTGAAAATGTCACAATTGTCAATTTGGTATTTGTTAAATATGACTCTGAATGGAATTCAGCCTTTTTTGTGCCTTATTATTAGCATTAACCAAATTACCCCAAATTGTAATTGTACACTAAGGACTAATTGCTAAATATGCTTGATAATTCCCTTTACCCAATACCAGTGAAGGCTAGTTCATACAGGCAGATGGGGCAGTGATCCCTACCCACATTTTTGAAGCTATAACAAAAAATACACTTTGGAGTTGAAGGGACCAATGATATATGTGTGATAGAGAAAATGTGTCTGTAATGATTCATTTTGAAATGTACTCCCCCACTTTCTTGATGGCTGGAGATTCTGTAGAGAGGCTGAGCAACTACTCATGCCAAAATTTGGGGCATGTTTTAAAAAATGCCCAGTTGTATTCGTATACCACCTTCAAAGATGCTTAGTCTACTCTAGTGGAATTTCTGACATCATCCATTAGCTTCGCCTTGGTCCTTCAGATGCTGTGCATCCTAAAAGATGTTCCTGCATAGCATACCGTCTTCTAGGATTTTATTTGGTAACCACATTAGAGAGTGTAGCCAGACTTCTTTTTAAAAGCAGTTGTTGTTTCCCAAATACATAGATCTATAAGCTTATGATATTGAATATGGTATGATGTCTCACTGGATCAGGGGTTGAATACATTTGGTTGAATTCTTAGGGTAGAGTCTATCCCCAACCATCTGGGAACTTCATCTGTCACAATTTTGAGTAAAATTCAGAGATTCTCATTAGGTTTTCATTTCACCTCAATTCAGCAGTTTGGTCACTTAACACTGAAATGTACTCAATTGAATTCAGTTTGCAAAATATAAGCCATATTCGCTGTTTCAGTAAAATTCCTTTTCTTGTCCTACTTTAACCTAAATATTGTTATTCTGTATCCACATCAATACAAATAGGATTTCAGAGAATAATTCCCATAGTGAATGAACCTCTTAATGCTCACTGCTAGATCACTGGTAATGGTTTTCCACCCATATTGTACTAAAGAATCACAAAGCCTGTTACGTGCAAAAGAAACAATATGATGGTTTTTAGAATAAAAATTAAACCTGTCTTTAAAGGAGCGGTGGTCTGTGCAAGCACGTTGTTATTCTTTCATTCTCCCTTCCCCCTCACCCAGACTCCTGGATTCAAATAGGTATTTGACAGCCAACCTTCAGCCAAGAAAAAGGTTGTCACAATTACCATAGCAACTCCAGCCAGGATCTGCACTGGCTTAATAAGTGGATTAAACGGACATGGGTCTGCTTGCAAGAACTGAGTGTACAACGTGGCAAGCCTACATGCATGTTGTTTAGATCACATCACAGAAGGATGCATATGCTTGAAATATGCCCAGGGTTATTCTCTTGAGTGATAATTTCAAATTTAAGAACAAAATAGTCAAATTGCATAAAATTCTCTAAGGCAGCATTTCCTTCAGTTCAGATTCTTTGACCTTAAATTTCAAATTCACTTTGAATATATTTCAAAGTCACACGTTGGTAAATAACCCGGACTATGTCAGACATCGACGTGCCAAAAAACATACAGACAAACAGCAAGACATACATTTTATAAAGAGAAGAATATCTCCTCATTTTTCCTCTTAGATCAAGTCCCCTATTGCTTAAAATAAAGGAACCCATTTGGAGTAGACAATGGGGTCAGGTGAGGGAGTTAGGGGCCATATACGTGAAATATGCCTACTCTTATTATCTCTTATTGTCTGTCATTGGAATGAAGAAAGGGTCCAGATATAGAAAGCTGTTCTGTATTCTGGGAGGAATTAGCAGGGATCCATAAAGGAGACAACCATTAAGTATATTCCACCCAGAGAAGTAGTGAAATTATACACCATTTGTCCTAAATAAGAAGGATTCCATAAGCTGTAAGAGTGTAAGAGGAGGCCTTGGCATATTATTAGGGGGTTATATAAGGGTGTATTGAGATAAATGTTGAAAATGCTGATAAAAAAAATGAGGTGCTAATTCAGCATCCAGAGAAGGGGTAACCATAAGGCCATCCTAGGTGGCCGCATATAACCCAGGGGTTAAAACCTGGCACTATGAATGTATTTTGGCCTGGTTAACACAGGCGACACTGGTATAAAATCAACTTTATTTAGTGTATAGTGATGAGACCATCAGGAGATGAAGCAGACAAACTAAAGAAAACATGAAACAGATTTAGTATAAATATTAGAGCACTGTAATATACATTTATCAAAAAAATAAAGGGAACACTTAAACAACACAATGTAACTCCAAGTTCTGTGAAATCAAACTGTCCACTTAGGAAGCAACACTGAGTGACAATCAATTTCACATGCTGTTGTGCAAATGGGATAGACAACAGGTGGAAATTATAGGCAATTAGCAAGACACCCCCAATAAAGGAGTGGTTCTGCAGGTGGTGACCACAGACCACTTCTCAGTTCCTATGCTTCCTGGCTGATGTTTTGGTCACTTTTGAATGCTGGCGGTGCTTTCACTCTAGTGGTAGCATGAGACAGAGTCTACAACCCACACAAGTGGCTCAGGTAGTGCAGCTCATCCAGGATGGCACATCAATGCGAGCTGTGGCAAGAAGGTTTGCTGTGTCTGTCAGCGTAGTGTCCAGAGCATGGAGGCGCTACTAGGAGACAGGCCAGTACATCAGGAGACGTGGAGGAGGCCGTAGGAGGGCAACAACCCAACAGCAGGACTGCTACCTCCGCCTTTGTGCAACAAGGAACAGGAGGAGCACTGCCAGAGCCCAGCAAAATGACCTCCAGCAGGCCACAAATGTGCATGTGTCTGCTCAAACAGTCAGAAACAGACTGCATGAGGGTGGTATGAGGGCCCGACGTCCACAGGTGGGGGTTGTGCTTACAGCCCAACACCATGCAGGACGTTTGGCATTTGCCAGAGAACACCAAGATTGGCAAATTCGCCAATGGCGCCTTGTGCTCTTCACAGATGAAAGCAGGTTCACACTGAACACATGTGACAGACGTGACAGAGTCTGGAGACGCTGTGGAGAACGTTCTGCTGCCTGCAACATCCTCCAGTATGACTGGTTTGGCAGTGGGTCAGTAATGGTGTGGGGTGGCATTTCTTTGGGGGGCTGCACAGCCCTCCATGTGCTCGCCAGAGGTAGCCTGACTGCCATTAGGTACCGAGATGAGATCCTCAGACCCCTTGTGAGACCATATGCTGGTGCGGTTGGCCCTGGGTTCCTCCTAATGCAAGACAATGCTAGACCTCATGTGGCTGGAGTGTGTCAGCAGTTCCTGCAAGATGAAGGCATTGATGCTATGGACTGGCCCGCCCGTTCCCCAGACCTGAATCCAATTGAGCACATCTGGGACATCATGTCACGCTCCATCCACCACAGATTGTCCAGGAGTTGGCAGATGCTTTAGTCCAGGTCTGGGAGGAGATCCATCAGGAGACCATCTGCCACCTCATCAGGAGCATTTGTAGGGAGGTCATACAGGCACGTGGAGGCCACAAACACTACTGAGCCTCATTTTGACTTGTTTTAAGGACATTACATCAAAGTTGGATCAGCCTGTAGTGTGTTTTTCCACTTTATATTTGAATGTGACTCCAAATCCAGACCTACATGGGTTGAAAAATTCGATTTCCATTTTTTTATTTTTGTGTGATTTTGTTGTCAGCACATTCAACTATGTAAAGAACAAAGTATTTCAGAAGAATATTTAATTCATTCAGATCTAGGATGTGTTATTTTTGTGTTCCCTTTATTTTTTTGAGCAGTGTATTTTGTATTTAAAGGGGTTATTTGTATTGTATTCCTTATCTTACATATAGTTTAATTAATTGTTAGTGTTAGAAATGAGCCACCTTAAAGCTCTGTCACCCTGAAAAAAAATATTTTTGAAGATACAATCTAATCATAAAGACTGTCAAAATTTCACTGATATTCTAATGCAGTCCGAAGATATTGAAAAACAAAGTTGGGACTACCCTACCTTATAGTAAATCCCTAACTTAATAAAAGGCAGCTCTGTGGCGCTGTCGAGTTTCTTCACTTCCCCCATTCATCTCACTCATCGCAAGACAATATCTATGGAGACTCCTGTGGCAGAATCCTACATAGACATCACTGCATGTGCAACAACACAGCCCATATGTGGTCTCCTGGAGGATAAAGCACAAGGAGCTGAAGATTGAAGATGGCCGTGCCCACAGCAGATAGCACCAGGTATATATTGAAATGTGCATAGGGATTTGGAATAGTGTTCAGGTAACTTTTTATTTTATTTTGTTTTATGTATTTCGGCTGATTCGTACTGTGGCTATTGCTGCCATCCAGGACTAGTGTTTGAGTGCAGAGCTTAATTTTGTCTGTAGATATATATAAATATGCAAAGACTCTAGTAGGTGACACAGACACGATAAATATTTTTACTAGAACCCATTGTAGAATAAGGCTGTCACTTCCTTATGGAATGCCCTCCCACGCAGGGCCGGCCACAGACATTGTGCTTCCTGGGTCAAAGGATGAAATGCTGCCCTCCCTCACCAAAACCATGCCCCTGCAGGCTTTTTAAAAAGGCAGTATTTACAGTGCTAAGAATACCTCTAGTGGCAGTCACTCAGATGGCCACTAGAGGTGCTTCCTGGGTCAACTAATTCAATGCATCTCTATGAGAAGATGCTAATTGGGACAACGTGGCGTTTTGCTGCGCATGCGCAATAGCCTCCCAATGCTTTCCTGTGGGAAAGCATTGGATTGGCTGAGATCATCAAATTTGATTATCTCAGCCAAGGAGGCAGAATGAGACTGGAAATAAGCTGAATAAAATCGCCTTTTACTCCAGCAGGGTCCTGGTAACTTAAACATCACTTTTACAACTATAGTCTTGACACTGTAAAAACATACATACACAAACACAAACTGCCCAATTCATAATACATACACTGCCTAATACATAGACACACACATTTCCTAATACATACCCACACAAAGACACTGCCGAATACATGCACACATTACATACATAAACTGCCTAATGCATACACACATAAACTACCTAATACATACATACATGCAGTCTCATTCACAGACACATACACTGCCTAATATATAGACAAACACAAACATTCTAATACATATCCAAACAGAGACTGCTTAACACACACACACGTCATGAAAGAACTGTTAAGTATTCACTCGATACACACGGGGAAACACCACAAAAAAAAAGGAATTGCTACAAAGAATAACAAGTAAAAAGTATTTAAAAAATTCACTTTATTGAATTTAGAAAAAACAAAAAGAACGTGACAAAGTGTATTAACAATAAACAGTCTAAAGAAAACCTTGTGTAGTTATTGTATGCAAAAGCTATTTTATTTTACAAGTCCTTTAAGCCAAAACTACTCAGCAAATCAGTCACTAAACTTTACCTGTATTGTATTGAAGCAAGGCCAACACGTTGGAAATAGAAGTATTGTGGTACTACAAAGTAACTAGTAATATTGCATTTTAGTTGTGGTGGAAAGTAGAATGCTTTGTTATAAAGTATTGATAATATACTTGCAGTTATCTAATCAAAGGGTTTTAGTGATATCAAAGGAATCAATGTATTAGAAACTATGAGATATAGTGATGCACTGCCTTCCACTGCCTTCCAAGGAAGTAACAAAATCTCTGAAATACAAATGGTAAATTGTGAATTTAAAAAGGTCTGTAACTGCACAATTAGCAGTAACTTATTCAGAGTATCTCACAGTGAGGCAGTGTGAAACCATTCTACCAGAGAAGAACAGTTGCAAAGTACAGGAAAAGTTGTGCCCTGCAGCATTACACTTCCCCTTTAATGAACCAGAGTATCAATAGAACATGGAGTAACTTTTTCAGAGTATCTCAGAATGAAGCAGTGTAGAACAATTCTACAAAGACACTTCCAACAATTCTACCTACTATTCCTGTATATCAAAAATGTTTTACCTATTGTGTGTAATATGTTGGCACTATATAAATATTTGTATTTGTAATGAAAAACAATAACTGTCTAAAAACTGTCGCATTCACTTTCACATTTGCACAAGTTTTGTGCGCATGCATCATTTTCTTAAGCATAACATTTTCAGTCCACATTTATACTTGCACCTTTTTGTAGCAAAATAATAGTCTTTTCCCACTTTGTATTCCTTTTGAATACATGACTTTTTTGCTCCTTTTTATTTTTCTCTCTTGATTTTAGAATTAATTACAATCACAAAATAAGGAAAATAACTAATATATTGCTCGGAAAATAAAACATTTGCATTTTTAAAGATTTTTATCACTTCAATAAATATGAATAACATAAATTCCTCCATTGTGACAGTGAAAAATACGTTGAAAGCTACATTTTTACGATTTTTATAAATTGGAAGTGATGCATTTGTGAAAAAAGCCAAAAATGGAGCAGGAAAATAAAATGAATAAGGAATTATTTGGCACAAATTAGGCAATAAATAATGAAAAGGTCAGATAACCTGTCTAAAAAGTGAATATGACACTTTTTATACATAGCCCCAATATTTATTGGCACTGTTTTGTCATTTTAAAGATCTATATTGCTAACTGTTTTCATTTATGTTGCACATGTAAAATCAGAGTATAATTCACGCACATAAGTCAGAATATTGATGGATCTGTTGGCATGACCTCTTCCCCTTCTACTGATGATTAAATTATCTGTGGAGGTGGAAGTGAAGGGCAGACACTGTGATTTCAGGACAGTGAGGGTAATAGAATGCCTGTCGTTACACCTGGTGACGCATACTCTGGTACCAAAATGCCTGTAATTGGCAGTTACTTTTACAGCCTCCAGCAAGTATAGGAGGAGGTCATTTTTATTCTACCTGATTCCCTGCACAACATAATTAAATCATTGTGCTGCTCTTTCTCAAACTCTATCAAACAGAGGAGATTTCAAAACAAATGCAGGATGATCCAAGAGTCAAAGATTACTCAAATACATGCAACATGCTTAGTGTTAGATTAACCTAATGATTACCATTACATACATGTTAATTGGTGTACCTAGGATGTATGCCATCCCACAACTAAGAAGCCATCTTGGAGATGATTTATACATTTTTTTAATACATTATTGATTTATGGCAGATATACAGCAGATTTGAATTGATGATAAAGGATGAATGTTACAGCTTGGTGTTAATCCTGGGGTAGTAAAGGTATTCTTCATGTAGCCAGCGTTTCTTTATACAGGAAAACGTGATTACAGCACTGTGTTTGCCACAATGAACCTATGATTACATGAACGCACTCTGTAACAGTATTACCTCCCTGCCAATAATCCCTGCACTTTGCTAATCCATAGTGTGTCTAAAGCCACAACTCGCTAGGTGCAGCCAGACACAGCATTCCGCCCCAACAATTCCATCTAGAATTTCAGGTGTTAAAACTGCATTTCCTCCGAATCATCGCGCCAGCAACGAGTTGCATTGAAAATCTGGCTGAGCTACTTGTGCATTCAAGTGACACCGTGAAGACGTCAAATGAATTTGCGAGCTCCCTCCCCCCTCCACTCTATCATTCTTTAAACACCAAAGCATTCTGATGGAAAGATAAAAAAGCAGCACACAATTTAACATAACAAAACTGGACCGAATGTAGCACCTGCCGCATGTGAGAGATGTATTATTCTAGGCTGGCGTTGTTTGCTGCAAAAATCAGACCCTATTTATTTCCTTTTTTTACAAAGCAATATAACATCGTTTAACAATCATCTGTTTAAAGCAAGCGTACAATCATTATCCCATTAACCCACTCAGGGCCTGCGGTATTTCTCTGCGTTCCATTATAATATGGAATCTGCTTAATTCTGGTAATGAAAGGGTTAAAGAAATGGTGCAAGGTGCCCATTATGGAACATGTTAGAGCATCAGCCTCACTAGGCCCAGCGATAATTAGCGGATATATTTTCTCTCAGAGATTTAGTATTTGATGGCCTTTGCCGAGAATAGCTGAGTGTCGTTTGATTAATTAGACGTTCAGAAAATTACTTTTATTGATCCGCCATTTGGTCCTGTGTTAAAGAATTCAATTGCAGATGAAATTACATGGTGTTCACTTTTACAGTCCAAACTATGAATACAGAGATAAAACCAGGTTAGAACCTATGTGCTCTAATTGTGTTATGTTGGATGTAAATATGTCTTGTGTATGCTGTTACTGGCCAAGGTAAATCAAATATAATTGTTCTGTCACTGTCGCTACTTCCTGCTGTACTTGCACGGACCATTACTAAGCAGGGGCTCCAGCTGGCCTACGCCAACATAATCAGTGGATAGACGTTTATTCAAATTAAAGATAGCGGCAAACAGAGGCAAATCTGATGTTTGATTAAAAAATACACTATAGCAAAGCATCTTTACGATAAACCAGCATTCATTTGTGTAAGTCACACCGTGTATACTTTGACAGTGGTGAGACATCACTGAGAACAAGATTATAAACTTAACCAGGATTACTGCAAAATTTAATATGTTAGAATAAAATAGCTGATCTGGGAAAATAGCTGAATAGTTGAAGGATGCTCTCTTGGTCCACAATATGTAATTCCCTTGACAATTCTTGAAAATGAATAACTAACACTGTCTTTCTAGAGGAAGAAAAATATAGTTTATTGTGGCATATCCAATATTTCGTGCCTCACTCATGAAATATTTGCCTGGGCAGTATTACTAACAAGTTCAAAATTGCATTGCACAGGGGATGGCTTTTTCAATTTTTAATGTATCAAAGCTTGCAAATAAAAACAGGTCTCAAATTCAGGCAGGTATAGTAATACAGTATATATTTAATCCCTAAATATGCTTAACCTCTTCAAAACGAGATTTGCATACTATGTGGAAGGGTGCATCACGTGTATGGTGGCTAAGTGATGGGTGTGAGAGTGTGTGTAGTAGAGGAGACTGAGAGCTGTATGTGGGGTGAGTGTTATGTGTGTAGTGTCTGAGTGTGTTTTACGTCCCTCCTGCATACCTTTTCCTGGTGGACCGGTGGAAGGTAAGCTGGATCCGTAGTGGTCAGATGGGGGAACATTGTTGTCTGCACCAAAAGCAGACCACTCTAAGAGCTCCATCATTGTTTTTCGGCTCAGTTAAACACTTAAAGTGGTGGCACTTAAAGTGGTCTGCATTGCATAGAGGTGCAGACCATAACAAATAGAGGGGGCACATGGTCAAGAAGGGAAATCTATCGATCTTCCTGCTGACTCAAGGAGGGCCTCCTCAAAGTCAGAGCTCCAGGCCCAGACATGGCCCCAGTAGGCTGCTTGGTCAAACTCTGATACAAACAGTTTCCTTTATTATCATTTACCTATAATGCACAGATGGAATTCTGGTGCACTGTATATATCGAATAAAATAATTAACCATTTAAAATAGTATCCCAAGTATCCCAGCCATTATAGCTTAATGTAGTTGTGCTTGGACCCTTTAAAAGGGTTTGGCAGTGCCACTGGCTTCTGTAAAACGTATCCTGCTCACCCAAATCTCATACCTTGCTTTGGAATGCCAGCAGGATGAAACTTTAGTTCCTCATTCCCTGTCCACATCAAACTCAGAAAACATCTGTCTGGTTACAGCTTGCAGATGGGTTGCAGACTGATTGCCTTGTAACCTGTTTCAGTACCATGGACAGTGGGATATTCTATAAGAACTATACATTAAAGGTGGAGTGTAAACTTTAATTTACCCTATCGAACTCAAAAGTATATAGAAATACACTGATCAGCCACAGCATTAAAACCACCTGCCTAAAATCGTGTAGGTCCCCCTTGTGGTGCCAAAATATCTCTGATGTCCTGTGGTATCTGGCACCAATACATTAGCAGCAGATCTTTTAAGATCTGCAAGTTACGAGATGTGGCCTCCATGGATTGAATTTGTTGTTTCAGCACATTACACCAATGCGCAATCAGATTGGGATCTAGGGAATTTGGAGGTCAAGACAACACCTTGAACTCTGTTCATGTTCCTTAAGCCATTCCTTAACAACTTTTTCAGTGTGGCATGGTGCATTACCCTGCTGAAAGAGGTCACTGCCATTAGGGAACATCATTGCCATGGAGAGGTGTATGTGGTTTTCAGCAATCTCTAGGTAGGTGGTCTGTGTCAAAGTAACATCCACATGAATGCCAGGACCCAAGGTTTCCCAGCACAACATTGCCCAGAGCATAACACTGTCTCTCTTTTCCCAAAGTGCATCCTGCTGCCATAATTTTACCAAATAAAGGACGCACATGACACCAGCCATCCATCTGATCTAAAAGAAAATGTGATTCATCAGACCACACAAGCTCCTTTCATTGCTCCATGGTCCACTTCTGATGCTCACATCTACATGACAGGGGTCATCATGAGCACTCTGACCTGTTTGTGGCTACGCAGCCCCTTGCACATTAAACTGTGATGCACTGTGTGTTCTGACATCTTTCTATCATGGGCAGCATTACATTTTCAGCAATTTGAGCTGCAGTAGTTTTTATGTGTGATTGCATCAGATGGGCTAGCCTTCTCTTCCCATGTGCAACAATGAGCCTTGGGCGCAGAATACCCTGATGCCAGTTGTACTTCCTTGCACCAATTTGGGTTTGGTACAAACCACTGCATACCGGGAACACCCCACAAGACTTGCCGTTTGGAGATGCTCTGACCCAGTAGTCAAAGTCACTTAGATCTTTTCACTTGCCCTTTTTTCCTGCTTCCAACACATGAAATTCAAGAACTGACTGTCCACTTGCTGCCTAATATATCCCACCCCTTGACAGGTTCCATTGTAACAATATAATCAATGTTATTCACTTCATCTGTCGGTAGTTTTAATGTTGTGGCTGATCAGTGCATATAATTTAAAAAACCTACAAAAGAGGAGAAAAAAATAAAAAACGTGTAAGCTATAACATACTGTGTTCCAATAATAGTAGTCTCTTTAAATTGCTCACGGACACTAAGCCATGTATAACAAAACAAAATATAACAAAATGCGAAAAAAGAACCATTTTATTTTGTCCGAATGGAAAAAGTTCAATAAAATTGGCAGAATTCTGACGGCGATGGCAATTCTCGTATTTACTAAAGCCAAATCAGATGGAAGCATTTGGTGTCTGGTACTCGAACCCTATTTAAATTATAACATTTGGAATAGGCACAGTACGGTACAGATTTTTAAAACAAAACCGTAATAGAATGCATCCAGAAGGATGCATGTTCACAAATGATCATTTACTTGCCTTTCACAAGCAAATTACTTGTACTACTATTTACCCACTGGCAGCAAATAGTTAAAAAAAAACGTTGGTGCTCCAAGGGTCAACCATGTGGCACTGGCCAGCAATTGCTATGGAGCCGCTACATTATAAAAAGTGTAAAATAATTAAAAAAGCAAAAAAGCAGATGGACAGCAATATGACACTCATATTACTATCAGGGATGTTTAAAATCTCCCTTATGTCCCCATCTGCCACAAACTAGTAACTGGATGGCCATTGCTATCCAGTCACTAGAAAAGGGTAATTCACCCTTGCAAAATATGGTGAATTACATAATGCCCCCCAATGCCCCGCCATTAGGTGGAGGATGGGGACTCATGAAAAATACAAGGGAAAGGGTGGATATGCCATTGACAACCACCCAAATTGTCATAAATCCCCCCAGTTGGCAAGGGGTTCCCAAAATCCCTAGCCAATTCCCTTCCAATAAATAACAATATTTAGTGGGGCAATGAAACGTATACTTGTAAACAAAATGTAAAAAAAAAAAAATCATACTTACTAGATGTCAGATGTTTTCTTTCTTCAACCCCAAAACAAGTCCAAATAAAAAAAATGAAAACATTTCAAACACAACTAATGAAGAAAAAGAAATGGCTGAATCAAAAAAAAAAAAAAGAAAAAAAAAATATGATGCAAGAAAAAGATGCTTGAGAGATCTGTTTTCGAAATCTCATTAGGGCAATCTGAATAATTGTCTTTCAGCCAATCAATCAGAGCGTTCTGACGGGCAAGTCTCAATTCTCTCCAGACTTCCCTGGGAATATTCCCATTATTTACTTTAAAGTACACCACCTGGTACCCGCCGGCAGGTTCAAGGGGTGTATAAGTCCCCCTTCCCCCTCCCCCCTCCGTTATTTTACAGTGCCAATCCCCATGGCGCTTACCAGTAAGAAAATAGTTCAGAATTTTTAAATTCAGGCCCAGATTCTAACAATCCAGGTCTGGACTTCAGCCATTTGGCAGCGAATGGTCTAGTGTATTCGGAGCATTGTCTGTAAAATCCAGACATTGTTAAATATGTCTTGGTTTCGTATTTAAAATGGCCCCGTGCGAAACCAAATGGTTTTGACATGTTCAGGCTATTTGAACTTTAGTTAATTTAGTTAATTTAATCCCATTTAATATGATGAGTTACCTTATGCCATCAAGTTCTTTATCTATACGACAATAAAATAAAAATTATATTGTCAAAATGAAAAAAAATATATACCTTTTTTTTTTCCACTTTGCAAAAAGTGCAGTTTTCAGTAGAAATATTTATAAATTGAGCTGGTTACATCCCCTTGTCTTTTTTTTTTTTATTTGCAATTTTTATTTGCAATTTTTCAAGAGACAGGAGGTTTCATTCCATATTACATATAACAGAATGCTATACATTGTGTGACAATGAGAACATACAAAGGCTAAGTAGCATACCTATAGCTGGGGAACATCAGAGTGGTATGAAACCCCGTGCCCATTTGTAGTAAGGGGGAAGGGGGGGGAAGACAAAGAACAGGAGGGGAAATTGTAACAAGGCATGCTGCACTTAAGTTTTGCAGATCACTGCTCCTCTTTAAAGTCCCGGGACAGACGGAGCTTTCTTTCCATATACTGGTCCCATAAGTCCCATGCTTCAGTCCAAAAATTCTGAGTCGTAGTAGCCTTTCTGGCCATGGCTTCGTATCTTTTGGATACTTCTATATATTGGATACACATCTGTAGTTGTGGTGTATGGGGGGATTGACAATTTTTTCCAATCATTCTCAGAGCTGCGAAGAGAATGTGGTATATCAAGTATTTGATCGGTTTGGACACCTTGTGTGGCAGCAGTTGGAGCAAAAAGTGAACAGGATTAGGAGGTAGACGCATTCGATATAAGTTGCGATATTTGTTGCCAGAAGGGCTTAATTTTTGCGCAAGCCCACCAAATGTGGAAGCTAGTGCCAAGGGAATCCTGGCACCTCCAGCAGTTTCCGGAGGTTTCCGGATTGATATGCTTCAGTTTAACTGGAGTGATATGCCAGCGATATAATAGTTTTCTGGACACTTCTATATGTGTGGAACATAGTGTTAGATTTCTGTTTGCCCTGAATATGCTAGCCCACTGGGAGTCCTCCAATTGTATATTGCAGTCCCGCTCCCAGGTCTGGATGAAGTGAGGTTGAGCTGTGTATAGTTTGTGTATGATTGTGTGGTACAAAAAAGAAAGCGGCCTGGAGGCGAAACCAGGACTTTATTTGCATATACATGAAGTTGAGGGCATTTGGTAGTTGGTATTTCGTCTGAAGAGTTGTAAATGGGACCAGTGACTCATTTTCCACCATGTGGTGTAGGGATGTGAGTCCATGGGCAACCCATTTCTGTGCACTAAAGTGAGGGACTAGTATTGTGAGCGCCTGGAGTTTCAGGGCCGGTGAGGGATGAGGCGACTGCCATGATTTGTCTCTGTGCTTGTCCTAAATGGACAAGATGAGCTTGGTGGTGGGCAACATTTCTCTGAATCGGGGTCTAATGTGTCGTGGTACCCAAGTAAGAACCATGATATCGTGACCCCCTGTGAATGTTGCCTCAAGCTCAATCCAATCGGGTGGCGACTCTTGCTGGAATGCCATGATGAGTGGGCTAAGTATTGATGCAGTATAATAGGCATCCAAGTGTGGAATCCCGAGGCTACCCCGTTGGAAGGGTTTATATAAAGCAGACGCGGCTATTCTCGTTTTTTTATTATCCCATATGAACGAACTTAACATGGCCTGGAATTTCCGAAGGAAATGTGCCGGGAGTGAAATATGGAGGGAGCGAAATAAATATTGGAGTTTGGGCAGGAGGACCATTTTTGTAGCTGCGATGCGACCCAACCAGGAGACATGCTTGCCCCTCCACCCAAATATCTGGCCCTTCATTTTGTTGAAAAGCTTAGTGAAGTTTGCATGTAGTAAAGAGTGCGGGTTGGCTGTGAAGGCTATTCCTAAAAAAGTTAACTGGTCAGTCCGCCAGTCGTATGGAAATTTGATTTTCAGTGCCTGCAAAGCGCTCGACGGGAGGTATTTCCATAGCCTGCGTTTTTGTGATGTTCCGCTTATAGTATGAGCACGCACTATATCTAGCCAAGACATTGTGTAGAAGGGGTAGTGTCCGGGGATTCAAGGGACAACATGATGTCATCTGCAAATATAGTGAGTTTGTATTCCTCTTTCCCTACTCGGATGCCCTTAATGTTTGTGTTCTCTCTGATCTGCTTAGCTAGTGGCTCCAGTATCAAAATGTACAACAGGGGCGATAACGGGCATCCCTGACGGGACCCGTTTGTAATGTTGAATGTGGAGGAACCAAATCCACTGTTGGTTACTCATGCCGATGGTGTAGAGTACATTGCAGAGATTAGCGACATAAAGTTCGGCGGGAAGCCAAACTCCTGTAGCGTGGCTTTAAGAAATCCCCAGTACACTCTGTCAAACGCTTTTTCCGCGTCTAATGAGAGGAATACACTGGGTCTTCCCACTGCCCTCGCTCGTGTCATTAAATCAAGGAGTTTTTTAGTGCCGTCAGAGCCCTGCCTCCCTTTCACGAATCCAACCTGGTTCCGGTGTACCACTGAGGGAATGATAGTAGAAAGCCTATTTGCGAATATTTTCGATAGTAATTTTGTATCTGTATTTAACAGTGATATAGGTCATAAATTCTGGTGTTTCGTTGGGGGTTTCCCGGGTTTGGGAAGTGTCACTATATGGGCTTGTAACATTTCGGCGGGTATATGACCAGTCTCTATAATAGCATTAAACAGTTTCACCAAGTGGGGAGATAAGGTGGATTTGAAGGTCTTGTAATATAGGTTCGTGAACCCATCCGGGCCTGGTGATTTACCCTGTGGCAGGGAGTGTATGACTTTTTCTATTTCCTCACTGGTGATCGGGTTTTGGAGCGTAGCTCATTGTAAAGGGGTTAATTTTGTAAGGTGAGCTTGAGTCAAAAAATCTCGAATCTCTTGGTCCGTGGGCTGATGCGTCTCATCATCCTCAGCTAAGTTATAAAGCTTGTTATAGAATTCTGCCATAGTGTTGTTTATATGTTGGGGGTTACTGAGTTTAGTACCTGACGAGGTGAGCATGTATGGTATTTTAGATTGAACTTGTTTTTGCTTTAATAAGGCCGCTAGGGCTTTCCCGGCCTTGTTGCCTTGCGAATATTGTTTCATTTTAAGTTTGGATAGCATGTGGGTCGTTTTCTGGAACAAGAGGTCATTAATTCTCTTATTGAGGAGGTATATGTTTTCCTGGCCTTCCTTAGTCGGGGAGATGAGTTGAGTGCTCGTTTGGTCTCTAAGTTGTTTGAGAAGTGAGATATATTCATGTTGAGCTCTCTTCAAAAAAGCCGCCCGGCTAATGATGTGGCCTCTGATCACAGCTTTGTGAGTTAGCCATATGTTTGGGATTTGTGTATGGGCTGTACAATTTAGTTCAAAGAACGAATTCAGTTCTTTTTCTAATTTCTCATTCTAAAAAGGATCTTGAAGAATGCTGTCATTCAGTTTCCAGGGAGATGTACCCCTGAAGCAAAACTTGTCTTGTAGTGTGAGGGATACTGGTGCATGGTCTGACCACGTTAAATCACCAATTGTGCTGTTTGTTAGTGAGGGGAGGAGAGGAGCCGATATGAGGATGTAGTCGATACGCGAGTTAGTCTTGTGGGCTCGCGAGTGGTGTGTGTATTCTCGTGAGTGGGGGTGTATCATTCTCCACGCATCATACAAATTGAATTCAAGTAGTAGCCGTGTTAAGGCCCTGCACTGGGGCCGAAGGGCCGCATGTCTCCCAGTGTGATCCGGGACTGTTGTGTCCAGCTGGTGATCTAGAACATGATTCAGATCACCACTTAGGATGAGATTGTGATGTTGTGGAGTGGGCATCTTGGCTAAGACCTTGTGCAAGAAATTCCTTTGATTTGTGTTGGGGCTATACACCGAGGCTATGGTATATTGGGTGTCATTAATAATGCAATATATGATAATGTATCTGCCTTGAGGATCTTTTTTCAATTGGAGTAGCTCAAATGCTAGGGATTTATGAAAGAAGATTGAGTTCCCTCTAGATTTACTGGAGTATATAGAGTGATATTGTACGGGATAGTCGTGTTGCGCGAAAGAGGGAATTTTCGTGTGAGTGAAATGTGTCTCCAGGACACACAATATGTCCACTTGGTCCCTTCTGGCAGAGTCTAAGAGGATTCTACGTTTGTGCGGGGTATTTAAACCGCACGCATTTATCGTTTGTACTTTCAGAGGTCAGTTGTATGAAGATTTTGTGGTCCCCTTTTTTTTTTTTTTGCCTTCCCTTGTCCGTCTCGGGTGGAGCAGTTCTAACTCAAGATGTTGGTGAGTAGCTATGCCTCAAACACGGGGTATGTAACTTGGGTGTGGGAGGAGGGTAGGAGGGAGGAGGAATATATAGAAGGCCCCTGTGTGAAGGGGCTGGTGCGATAAGTGCGCACCATGGGGAACGGAAACGTTGGTCTCCAGTGGTGTGGCATGTGGGCTGGAAGTAGCTTTGATTTTGAACAGAACCTTTTGTAGTTTTTTGGGGGGTTTTATGTAACACAGCGTGTTAGAACATGCTGTTTAAGCAAAGAACACTTGGGAGGCAGCATGTGGGCTCGCGCAAGTCTGCAATTATGCGGCCCAAGGCTCTGGGAACCTGTGGCGAGCTATATTTTTTATTTTTATTTTCCCGCAGGCCCCCCCGGCGCCATCCCCAAGCCTCCACCCGCCACCACCCCCCCCAGCACAGGGAGCCCGCCGGACAGGCCCCCCCACCCGGGGGGAGGAGCAGGCCAGCACCGAGGGCAACCACCAGCTGACTCCCGCCGCGAGGCCCCCCTCATCATGGGGAGACGGCAGGGGGAAAGCCCCGGGGCCCCCGCGGACACGAACCAAAAGTGGGGAACAGACCCAAAGTGGGGAACAGGGTGTCGCAACCATATTAGTCTATACATATATAGTGTGCCAGTCTATGGAAAACAGAGGACATTCTATACTTGCGTGTCTCAACATGCCGCCATATGAGAGGGTTAATGTCCGCTCTGGGCTATCTGCCAGTCCAGTTTGAGCCTGCTCGGAGCCGGGAGTTTGTCCTGCCCTGCTTGCAGATTTATGCCCCACTCCTTCAGGTGGGTTGTGCCTTCTTCTGGAGATAGAATTGATTGCAGCTTCCCCTGTCAGGAGTTTCGTGGGGTATCCCCATCTGTACTTCACTCCGTTATCGCGGAGCGCCGCGGTGATCCTTGCGAAGTCCTTCCTCCTGCGGAGAGTGGCAGCTGATATGTCCGGGTAGATCTGCACTTCAGAGTAGCCGTCTGGAGGGTTGGGTGAGCACCTGCTAGCACGGAGAATATGCTCTTTGATGTGGAAATAATGGGCGCGCAGTAAGACATCCCTGGGAGAGGAGTCAGACAGGTGCCGCGGGCGGGGAACTCAGTGGATTCTGTCTAGCAACAACATATCCGACGGGACCTCCGGTGCATACGCGCTAAGAAGGCCCCTCACAAACGCTTGTAGGTCTGCCGGCTGCACCGTCTCTGGAATGCCTCTCAGCCTCAAGTTATTCCGCCGTGCCCTGTCTTCCATATCAGCCAGCCGAGATTCGGTAAGTAGCAATCTACCCTCCAGGGATTCCACGTACGCCGCCAGATCATTATGAGCTACCGCCACTTCATCCATTTTGGATTCGAGGTGAGATGTGCGCCCGCCAATATTTTGAATGTCCCTCCGAAGTGCATCAATAGAACTTTGCCAGGATTCTATGAGCTTTTTCGAGAGGGTTTCTAGCGCCAGGGTCAGGTGTCCCTTCGTCAGGGTGTCGTCGACCTGTGTCTGGTCGTGCGAAGAGCCTTCCTCCTCGGTGCTTTCCGCGCCATCTTGGCTGAGGGGGAATAGGCCTGTAGGAGTTTGCGGCGTTTTCTGGGCAAAAAAGGTGAGCTTGTCTGCTCTTGTCACATTTTTCTTTGTTTTCTGCTGCGCCGTGGCGGATAAGAGGGGTTGAGAGCGGTTCTGTGTGGTAGAATGGTGATGGATTTCAGCCCTTATGCCGGAGAGAAGGATTACACGTCCATCTTGTCCGGCAGTGGCCACGCCCCCCCACATCCCCTTGTCTTTTAAGCAGATAACAGGTCATTTTACTTCCTGGATTCGTTCAGTAGAGCTAAATTCAAGAGGCAGCAATTGCCCAGAGCATCTTCCTTGCACAGACTTCTTATACAGTTGCATTGAGAAATCTGTGATTGGACAACCACAGAAAGTCTGTGCGGGGTTAGAAGGGGCCGGTTTGCAAAGTTAGCAGACAAGAGAACTGCAGGTTTTGCAAGCTAGTTTAGATTTACCTCCAATGAAGAAATGCGTAATTAAATGCATACATGTTTTCATTTGGGGTATATCTACAGACAATGATTTTTATTTATTTTCTATTTGGGTAGTGAAGCACTCAACTGTTAATCCAAATTCTGCAGGTACAAATAGCTATGGGGGTGCACAGTTCAATTACTGAAATTCCAAAAAGCACATTGATTTCATCAACAACAGAGCAACGGTTCAATCAGCTTCACCCCCACACCTGTACATATGCTGAAGATAATCAATTACAAAGACAATGGTGGTCAGGGTTACCATAACAACTGCTTTACACAATACCATCAATATGGTTTATTTAAATGACAACTGTCACCTCAAAACTATTTTTAAATATAATCGTTTCATAAAGTTTTAAAAGGAAATAGATTTTTTAAAATGTAAAAAAATTGAGAAACACTTATCCCTAACTTTAGTATATGAAAGAATCCTACAGCCATATACATGCACCTTGGGTCAGACGGTGTTTTAAAAAACACTAGTCTATATAGCAGGGCAACCCATGAAGTAAATCCCCAGATGTGGTAGAACTACGACTCCCATGATGCTTTGCATGCCTTTAGAATGCCTTTAAAATGATATAGCATCACAGAAATTGTAGTTTTACCACATTTGGGGATCTACCTATTGGGCAGCCCTGCCCTGTAGATATCCCTGCTTCTGGTGACAGTTGTCCTTAGCAAAGCAAGAAGTCAAAAGCAACCATGTATTTCAAAATTTCTGCTTCAATATTTTTGATTTTGAATACCTGAATATATAAAATAATTAAATAAGTTGGTTTTAAAAAAAAAAACAAAAAAAAAAACTAAACATTATACAAATAGGTCACTTGGCCTGGCGGCCATTTCGATTATATAAAAAAAACAAAAATTAGGTGCTCACTATATACTTTAAGGCAGCAGTAAGTCTTACAAGGATTCCCCAAAACCTTGTAGGAATAGAGACCGAAGACAAATACAAAAAATAGATAACCGTGCCTTAAAACACAGTAATGTACAAAAATAAAGTCAAATATGAATCATATGTACATACTTTTTTGTTAAAAGTCTATGAAGTCTTTGTGTCGAATTTCCAAAGTGCTGAATTTCCAAAGTGCTGAACAGAACCGAATTGCCGAAGTCCCGAATTGCAGATGTGCCGAATTTTGGAAGTGCCGAAGTGCTTTGGATTTCTGAAAAGTGGCAAAGCTGGAGAGGGAAGGAAAATGAAGGTAATGATGACAGGAATATAATGCTAACCCTACCCCTAACCCTAGCCCTAACCCGAACCCTTACCCCAACCTTCCCCTAACCCTAACCCTTACCCCAACCTTCCTCTAACCCTACCCCTAACCCTACTTCTAATCCTAACCCTATCCATAACTCTACCCCAACCCTACCCCTAACCCTAATTCTAGCACTAACCCTATGCCTAATACTAGTAGGGTTAGGGTAAGTTTAGGGGTAGAGGTAGGGTTAGGAGTAGGGGTAGGGTTAGGAGTAGGGCTAGAGGGGTAGGGATAGGGTTGGGGTAAGCGTTAGGGGTAGAGGTAGGGTTAGGGTTATGGGTAGGGTTAGGGATTTGCTAAAGTCTCAAATTCCCAAAATCCTGAAGTGTTAAAGTCCCGAATTCCCAAAGTCCCGAATTTCGGAAATGCCGCACGGAACCCAAGTGTCGAAGTGCCGAATTCCCAAATTTTGGAAGTGCCGAACCGAACAAAAATTTTTGCACATGCACATCCCTAATATTTGCAAAATCTGTACTCTCTCTATGCTTTTGTCGTTGGTCATCTTTGTCTGGTAGCACTTTTGTTATTTGCCTATAAAAAACTCTTGAAATACTATGAGATATACTTGAGATCTATGGTGTGCTGCATGTTTGGACCACACCATTCAGAGATCACATCGTCTGGCAGCCATCTTGGTTTAAGGGGCCAATTTTCCCAGGACCATTTATGCTACAGATGTGCAAATTGCTGTGTAATGCTATGATGTAGATTCGGTTTTGTTCAAGAGATGGATTGTCAATTGATTATATGGTTTGGTGGTCATGTTGGATTTCCTTAAATTATTCCAACATTATCTTCTCTGAAACTGTTCCTCTGAATAATAAATAATATGGTACACATGTCTACAGCAATGCCCTCTATCAAAGATGTTCAAAGCAAGTAGATGTAAAAATTGTAATGGCCGCTATGAGCCAAATACATTTAAGATATCCTTCAACTGCATAAATTTCAGCTATATTTTTGTTGGTAACAGGCATCTGATACCTAAAGCAATCACCAGTTTAATTTTAAGTTTCACCTAGTTCTATGCTCTTGAGGGCTAACTAAGGGTATGGTCAGCCAAAAAGGTATATAGAGCATGGGTCTACATCTCTATCTACAACCTGCCCCCTTGTGGTAATGGACAATCAGAGTCAGCTGCAGGAGCACAACATAATGATGTTGAGTTGTTAACGTCGTTTGGTCTGACCTGATTCACAAAAGACCAACCTGGCTCACAACACTTAGAAAGAGCTGCAAAAGATGAGCTTGGGGGTATAATAGACAGAGAGGGGAAGAAGTACAAAAGGGAGGAAAGGCATGGGAAAGACCGGAGGGGCAATATTGAGCAAAGTATGTGTAGTGGCGAGGGAGGGAAAGAAACATCTAACAACAGGGAAGATAATATTAAAAGTTAAAATAGTATATATATATATATATATTTATTTTATTTTTTTACTTTTTTTTACCTTAGTGTGTTCCTTTACTGAAGTAGATTGCTCCCCCTTTTACAATTAGAAAATACAAAATAAACATAACTGTAATCCAATGTCAAGTCTTCTATTGACAGTCAATCTGCATTCAAAGAGATCATAAATTTTCATTATTTTGGTCCAATCCAATACTTCCCATAGAGAAGCAGTGGGGGCCAATGGGACATGCATGGCTATCACTAAGCTCTGCCAACAAGATGCTTCTCATATGCAACCACTGAATCCAATACTTCTCTATGAGAAGCACAAGCTTCATCCGGTGTCATCATGCTGTGTGTAATTGTGCTGAACATCAACAGACTGGCATAGTCTTCAGAAAGACAGTCTGACAGCTGCTAGAGGCATGTTTATATAAACATTTTCATTTGTCCATGTTTTAAATTTGCTATCTGATGGAGAGCATGATGGCTAAGTAGTTGAGTTTGTTGGGTTTATTTGAGCATGGTTGGTGATACTTTGTCAGCTAGCCTTGTCAACACAGATGTCTGTGAACTACACTTGCTAGTAATCACTGTGTTAAACTGCATCCACATATATATCCACACACATCTACACATATTACACAGCTTCTTCACACATTCATATGAATTCACACACATTATACACATTTTGTATATTGATCAACGGCAGTTGTAGCACAACTATAGGACACGTATCCTACAGCCTTGGTTGGGTCTAAAACAGCAAAAAACAAACAAACTAAAAACAACACTGATTGTACCACTGTCCTATTCCAATTAAAATGAAATGGAGACTGTGACTGTCTCTGCAATGCATACTATTGAATAAAACACTGAAAATCGCATATAATTTGTGTTAACTTTTTTCAGGAGGTGCTCGGTTGTTTTTTTAAATTTATATTAAACATTTAAGGGACACTATTAGGCACCAGACCAATTCACCCAGCATCTTCACTATTAGGCACCAGACAAATTCACCCAGCATCTTCACTATTAGGCACCAGACCAATTCACCCAGCATCTTCACTATTAGGCACCAGACAAATTCACCCAGCATCTTCACTATTAGGCACCAGACCAGTTCACCCAGCATCTTCACTATTAGGCACCAGGCCAATTCACCCAGCATCTTCACTATTAGGCACCAGACCAGTTCACCCAGCATCTTCACTATTAGGCACCGGACCAATTCACCCAGCATCTTCACTATTAGGCACCAGACCAATTCACCCAGCATCTTCACTATTAGGCACCAGACAAATTCACCCAGCATCTTCACTATTAGGCACCAGACCAGTTCACCCAGCATCTTCACTATTAGGCACCAGACCAATTCACCCAGCATCTTCACTATTAGGCACCAGACCAATTCACCCAGCATCTTCACTATTAGGCACCGGACCAATTCAAACATTATCTTCAAATCCAGCTTTGTGTTCCGAAAACTATCTCCAAATGTGTTCTCTGCACTGACTGGCAGGTACAAAACGCAGAGCTTATAACAACGACTGACAGAGCCAAAAGATGGATGAACTCGGATGCAGGATAAAAAGGTGTGGATTTTTAATTTTAGTTTTATTTTTCACACCTTTGAAATAGAAATGTGTTAAATTTAGTGATAGATAAACATAATGTTAAAAATCCTGAAAAGTGTCAGCTCCCCTTTCAGCATGAAAAAAAAATCATAGTAATAATTATTATTGCTTTTATGGTGTAATACCAAGAGCAGAACAAATTGAGTTTGTCCTCCGGGCGGTTTTCAAAGACCAGAGTTGACAAACGTGTAAAAGGATGCTAATTTCGCAGTAGTTACATAACCTCAACATTGCTTGTCTTACCCTTAAACATCAGTTCTGTTTATTCCCCTAGGATGTATTTTATTATTGTTACTATGACAAAATCCCTTTGTGATTAAGACTAATGAGGATGAGAACATCACAAAATGTACTGAAGAATAGTCTAATTAGTTATCCAATATCTCCTGCCTAGATATATACTGAATTATGAAAGTTGCAAGAAAAGAAAAACTCGATTTAAAAAAAAAAAAACTTAAATTTTTAAAAATGATTATTCAAAACTTATGATATTCCGGCTTCTGACACTAAATGATAGAATTCTGAGCCTCAGTGTGTCTCAGCGAATCCTTGGAGCAATGTCTTTCATCATCTTTTGAAAATGAGAAAACACAGGACTGACTGATCTTCTCAGAGATCCATACAAGACATAAAAACAGCCCAGCGCCATCAATGGGAGATTTAAGAGCCTGTACGCCAAAGTCTGTCTCACTGTCAGCTTCCTCGACTTACTCACTTTGCTGCAGTGATGTAAAGTTCCCCCAAACAGCAATTTATTTTCTTCCTTTGCCACTTTATTACAATTTTGCGAGCAATCATTTAAAAATCAAAAAACAAATGAGGGCCGGAGCCTAAAAAAAAGAATCCTAACCTCACTAAGATTACCTCCAATGTTAGAACATTCTAAGATAATAGCAAATAACTTTATTAGTAACAGAGAATAAGTAACATACAAAACACACAATCTGCCCCCCCGAACAAAAATAGTCCAAATCTAGACTACTTAACACAGTTAAAAAGAATAGGGAGCCAAGGGTTAAACTGGGATGTCTACAGCAAGGCTTAGGTCGCTTAGTGGTAATTGCATGTAATAAGCAACCATAGAAGTATTGTATTTAAATCCCTCAATACAACTAATAGGTGCTGTAGTAACTATAAATAGTAATGATGGATAAACAAAGGGGCGCAAAGACAATACATAAAGAAGAACCCCAGATTAATTATATATAAAATGAGGTTCCTAAGAAAGAGTATCTGTAGTTCTTAATTAGGTAACAAAGTGTATATATAATATGTCCGGCCCCCTCAAGGGTTACAAACAGTTACAAACAGTAACACAATTATCATATAAAGAAATAGCAGGTACAAAATTATACTTTGTGTTAGAAAAGGCAAATCGTGGGAATATAATTTAGGGCAATTACCCACTGCACGTCCCTACTGCCAGCTATCAGAGATCTCCTCCCAACCTGCTGCTTCAAGAAAGCCCCCACTAATCCAATGTAACTGTAAATAACCTAATCAAAGTACTAAAAAGTAGGCACGCATTATGGTACTAGAAACCCCATCCTAAGAAGTGAAAAATAGAATTAATAAAAGTGCATTTATAATATGGTATTACAGCATTTGTGGACGTCCATGTGGCTTTTGATAGCTTTAGTTCATAAAACAAAAACACTTCTCAAGTCAGGGAAAAATACCGCTGCCAGTATCTTACTGGAGGAAAGTTTTTCAGGGGAAGTTGTATTACTGAAGTGAGCAAATAGTGCAGGTAATATTTTTTTTAAAAATAATTACCATATTTGTTTAACAAAATTACCTCATGGTAATAGGTTGTGGCTGCAAGTACACACTGATAGCAGGAACATTTTGACCAGAGACCATTTTTTACAGTGAACCTGTTGTCAAAAAATTAAGAGCTACACGTGTGGGGAGTATAGTAAGAGACCTACAATTGGGATAAGGGGAGTTGGTGAGGGGGTCAGGAGACACAAGGCAATGGGTGAGGTGGTGCAGAGAGAGATACAATAGAGGTGGAGCGACAAACTGAATTTTGACAATTCCTGAGGTGTATACAGAAAAAACTATTTTGTCCTGGATGCAATTAATCCATGTATGCTTTTATTTGACACTGGGTTATATTAGTCATAACAAGTGCACTTTCACAATTTGGAGAATACCAAGACAATACCGAGAATACCAAGTCATGACAAGAAGGTGACAGGACGGAGGTGGCAGCAGGATTTGTTTGTCTATGAAAGTGACAGTGTGTGATTGTGTGTCTATGTGACTGTATGTCTATGTATGTTGTCATTGTGTGTGTGATTGTGTGTCCATGTATATATATGACCGTATGTATATAGTGTGTGTCTTTATGTATGGATGGTCATGTTGCTAGGTGAATGACTACTAGTTGTACATGTATGTAGGGCAATAAAGTATATGGGGGCAAAAACTCAAAAAATTTAAAGTGAGTATAGATAAGAAAATTTCCAAATGTGAACTAAGTTTCCATCATGAACAATTGACACAGCATTCAGAATCTCAAATTCTAAACCAAATTATTATAATTATATCTCCAAATAACAATGGTTACGAGACATAGGATTTCTTTAGCAAGATGCATACAATTACATTTCTATGACTGTTCAAACAATGGCATTTGTGAAAATCCTATCCCACAGGTGGAGAAAACAATATGGTAAAATAATGTACAGATTTTAAGGGACACCTGGAGAGACAAAACAGCAACAACAACAAATAGCTCTATAACACGTATAATTACACGTATCTAAGTGTTACAATCAAGACAAGACAAGACAACTAAAGTAGTTCTGGATGCCAGCACGCATCCTTGTTAGTATTATTTAGACATCATAGACAAGGATCGAGAGCTGGCTCCAGTGCCAATGTCTGGGAAAGAGGAGAAACCAGGATACTTAGCACACTTCTCATAGAATTAACAACAATAATAATAATACATCTTTACTTGTTCCATTATAAAATATAAAGGGGATTGACTGTTTAAGAATGGGGGTGTGATTGACTTCCACTAGATGCAATCTCACTGAGAAATTTAAATACTGCACTAAATTCAATGCTTCTCTATGAGAGTCATTCAAAGTGTTTAGTGGCACTAATATGGGAAGACTTAATTTTTGAACATTTTCACAAGAACATGCCTCTAGTGTCTGACTGTTTGATTGACAGATTGACAGTCACTAGAGGCATTCTCACTGACTAATGTAAACAGTGCCTCTGCTTACAATTATCCCTAAATTATGCACTAAAACCACTGCCTTGAGATGTAGTTATTTTGGATGGTAGAGGGTCCATTAACATTTCTGCTGGTTCACCGTTCCATGGTCTGTAGAGAAAGAGAGAGAAGGGGTCCAGCTGTAACTATGCTCTGATGTCGTAATGCTATGTCACACTGAGATATGCCTTCAATCTCTGGGCAACTTTTTCATCTTGTTCTTAAAGCGGTGCTGGCCCCCACAGGCAATCAGGAATTCCACCACTTTCCATGTACTATGGCTAGATGAAAAACTAGCTGGTCCAACTGCAAAAGAAACATAATAGTAGTTTTATATTTTTAGTTTTTGTGGTTTTTCTCTATTTATTGTCGAACAACTTGTTGTTGTACTTTTCCAGTACATCTTGTTTAAAACCAATAAAAATGAGTTACATTCAAAGGACGGACAATGGATCCACAATAACCATTTTCTGGAGTCCAGAAGGACTACCTTAGATGATACCTTTATCTTCTCTCTGATGGCTTCAACCTTACGTTTCCCATTTTCATTATTATGATGAAAATATCCCAAAACACCGGGACATTGTAATTATAATAACACTATTTGTGTCCTGATTAGCCATGTTTTTAAAGATAGGTTATAGTTTCAGGAAAGATAAGGGGTGTTCATATTGTGTTCTGCTACTACTTGCAATCGTGCAATCCAGTTTTTTGATAAACAGTGAATAGGCGAGAAAACTTAATTCCCAATGTCCTATTGTGGTATATTAACTAAACGTGGAATTACCTGTTATGTGGAATTCTCAAAAGAAATGCAAATGTGGCCCAAAACAGCTAACTAGGAAAAAGATTTAACTGAAATTTTTGCAGCTCCTTTTTTTACCTGCTATTTGCCGTTTTCTTGCAAATGTATCCATAATTCCTAGTTAAGTGAATAAACCATCTGGGGCTGAATACGTAGTAGTCATGACAGTTTTATAGATTTTTTGGACAGTTTGATCCTGTTTCATACTAATGTGAGACAGACTTGTGGACATCTTACCCTTGTAGAAACAAGACAAGGGCATCTTAGTATTAATCTTATTACAAACAGGTACGTCTCATATCTCTTTTAATTTGAAAATCTTTATGCTCACCTTGTTTTAGTTCTGTGAACCCCTTAGCTGGTTATGTAGTTTAACCCCTGAAGGACACATGGCATGTGTGACATGTCATGATTCCCTTTTATTCCAGAAGTTTGGTCCTTAAGGGGTTAAAAGGCATGATAATGTTTCAGCCTCTTCCTTTTGCCTTGTCTCTAGGTTATGTCCGCGGAATTCTTAGAAATACTTTAACCCCTAAAGCAGCTTTTCCCAATTGGTGTTCCGCGAGAACACAAATGGAGTTTCCGCCGTAATTTCGCCAAACAAAATGGCCACTGCAATTTGATCGACCAGGCCCCTGTAATATCGGCCGACTGGGAGGAAGTGACAGCACTTCCTCCCAGCTTCACAGAGTTGCTGCCGCAGTAGGGCGGGAGCAGGGCCGGACTGGGAAAAAAATTAGGGCCGGGCATTTTTCAATCAGAACAGCCCCCTAAAAGGGGGCGGGGCCAGAGAGTGTGTGTTTTGTCATCACTAATGACAACACGCCCCCTCTCAAAGTGAGCATTTTGGTTCAATGCCCAGAGACCTGCTGAAGAGCTCTGGCATTAGAAAAAGGTCGTGAATTTGTTCTGCACAGCGCAAGCAAATTTAATAACATGCTTGCGCTGTGTTTGCTTTTAAATTGTCTCTGGTGTCTCCACAAGTGGGATACCAGAGGACAAAAGGGCCAGGAAAGTGCATGGTGCATATGTTTGGCGCCTGCGTGTGTGTAGAGTGTGGTGTGATATTGTATAAATAGGTCAATTTAATTTGTGTTTGTGGTGTAATATGTGTGGCTAGGGGCTGTAGAGAGTGTGTGTATAGGAGGCATAGTTTTATAGGGGATGCAGCGAGTGTGTGCATACGGGCTGAAGTGTGTGTGTATAGGTGACGTAGTGTGTGTAGGGGTTGCAGAGAGGGTGTGTTTAGAGAATGTTGTATGTGTTTGCTGACAAGGAATGTAGTGTGTGTGTGTAGGAGAGCTACTGTGTAAAGGACCAAGTGTGTGTGTGTGTGTGTAGAGGATTAAGAGTACATATAGGGTAAGGGATCTAGTGTGTATCTGGAGCGTAATGTGTGCAGTGGTGCAGTGTGAGGGGTGCTGTAGTGTGTGTGTTTATGTATATATATATATATTTAGACTTATTGTATGTGTGAGGGGCGCAGTGTGTGTATGTAAGAGGGGTGCTGTGTGTGAGGGTGTTTTTATCTGCTGTCACATTCTAGGTTTCTAATTTTCTTTGTCTGTTAACTCACTGAGGGTTATTTTATATATATATGTGTGTGCTGTATATGTGTGGGAGTGTGCTGTGTGTGTGAGTGAGGGTGCTGTGTGTGTCTGGGTGCTGTGTGTGTCTGTCTGGGGGGAGCTGTGTGTGTCTGGGTGAGCTGTGTGTGTCTGGGTGAGCTGTGTGTGTCTAGGGGCGCTGTGTGTGTCTGGGGGCGCTGTGTGTGTCTGGGTGCGCTGTATGTGTCTGGGGGCACTGTGTGTGTCTGGGTGCGCTGTGTGTTTGGGTGCTGTGTGTGTCTGTGTGGGGTGCTGTGTGTGTGTCTGGGTGCTGTTGTCGTGTCTGTGTGTGCTGTGTGTGGTCGCTGTGTGTGTGTGTGTGTCTGGGTGCTGTGTGTGGGTGCTGTGTGTGTCTGTGCTGTGTCTGGGGTGCTGTGTGTGTCTGGGGTGCAGGGTGCTGTGTGTGTCTGGGTGCTGTGTGTGTGGGGTGTGTGTGTCTGGGGGTGCAGTGTGTGTGTGTCTGGGTGCAGTGTGTGTCTGGGTGCAGTGTGTGTGTCTGGGGGTGCTGTGTGTGTCTGGGGTGCTGTGTGTGTCTGGGTGCTGTGTGTCTGGGGGTGCTGTCTGGGACTGTGTCTAGGGGCTGTGTCTGGGGACTGTGGGGTGCTGTGTGTCTGGTGTGTGTGTCTGGGGGTGCTGTGTGTGTGTCTGGGTCTGTGTCTGGGGTGCTGTGTGTGTCTGGGGGTGCTGTGTGTCTGGGTGCTGTGTGTGTCTGTGTGTGTCTGGGTGCTTGTGTGTGTGCTGTGGGGTGCTGTGTGTGTCTGGGTGCTGTGTGTGTCTGGGTGCTGTGTGTCTGGGGGTCTGTGTGTGTCTGGGTGTGTGTGTCTGGGGGTGCTGTGTGTCTGGGGTGTGTGTCTGGAGACTGTGTCTGGGGGTGCTGTGTGTGTGCTGTGTGTGTCTGAGTGCTGTGTCTGGGGGTGCTGTGTGTGTCTGGGTGCTGTGTGTGTCTGGGTGCTGTGTGTGTCTGGGTGCTGTGTGTGTCTGGGTGCTGTGTCTGGGGTGCTGTGTCTGGGGGTGCTGTGTGTGTCTGGGGGGGTGCTGTGTCTCTGGGGGCTGTGTCTGGGGGCTCTGTCTGGGGGTGTTGTGTGTGTCTGGGGGGTGCTGTGTCTGGGGGTGCTGTGTCTGGGTGCTGTGTGTGTGAGTGAATGTATTTTTTATTTAAATTTAAATAGGAGATCCGTTATGCCTGGGGGGTGGGGAGCCATGCTGCCTTCCTTCCCTGGTGGTCCAGTGGTGAGAGTGAACTCTAACCTGCGGGTTAGAGTTCACTCTCGCAGATCTGATCGAATCCCGCGAGAGGACCGGCGGAGCTGCTTGTTAGAGCTCCGCCGGGTCCTCCCTCCCTCCCTCACACAGCCGGCGGCCGCATCTCCCTGTCTGTGGGCCGGTGAGGGAGATTTTTGATCTCCCCACCGGCCCATGGAGGCACTATGCAGGGCTGGCGCTCGGATAGTGCTGGCCCTGCAGGGGCCGACCGGGGAAATCCCCTGCCGGCCTCGGCCTCACGGCCATTGCGGCCCACCAGGCATTTGCCCGGTATGCCCGATGGCCAGTCCGGGCCTGGGCGGGAGGAGGAGGCTGGAGACGGCAGCCCAGAGAGGGAGCAGCATGAATGGCAGAGGAGAGGCTGGAGTGAGCATGCAGCAGCTCACTCCCATCAGCCTCAGCCAACATCACCAGGACCACAAGGTAAGTTAACAAGATGTATGTCAGACTGTGTGTGTGTGTGTATGTGCCAGTGTGTGTATGTGTCACTGTGTGTGTATCTGTGTGTATCAGTGTGTTTTCATGTGCCAATGTGTATATGTGTGTGTCAGTGTGTTTATCTGTGTGTCAAGGTGTGTATATGTTTCAATGTGTGTGTCTGAGTGCGTGTATGTGCCAGTTTGTGTATCTGTGGGTGCAAGTGTGTGTATATGTCCCTGTGTGTATCTGAGTATGTGTGTATTTATGTGTCAAGGTGTGTGTATATGTCACTGTGTGCATCTGAGTGTGTGTATGTGCCAGTATCTATATCTGAGTGTGTCTATCTGTATGTCACAGTGTGTGTGTGTCTGTGTGTGTGTGTATATATGTTTGTA